CGTCCTAGAACAAACGTGGCTTACTCGGTATCCATGGCCTGCTGAGGTTATCATGGATAGAGGACGCGAGTTCCGCGCAGAGGTCGAAAAGACACTCCGGGATGAATATGGACTTCGTCGCAAGTTCATCACTACGCGTAACCCTCAAGCCAACTCTATGGTCGAGCGTGCTCATCAAAACCATACGTAACTTGATCGCTGTTCAAAACATCAAGTGCCAAGACGACCTCGTGAATGGATCCTTGGGATGGAGTCCTCACGGCGGTTCGCTTTGCAATGAATGCCACGATTCATACCACCTGCGGCAACGCCCGCACAGCTCGTGTTCAATCGTGACGCGATTCACAACGTCCGGTTCGAAGCCAACTGGAAGTCATTAAGGAACGTCGCCAACGACTAATCCAACAAAACAACGATAGGAAAACGCAACGCGTGTCCCTCATCAATACAATGTCAACTACCGTGATGATTCAACAGTATCAGCACCGCAAGTACGTCAGCCAAAGTACAAAAGTCCTTACACTATAGACCGAGTCAATGACAATGGCACTGTACGGCTCCAACATGCTACCGCCAACGGCGGCACAGTCTACCAGACTTTGAACATAAGGTATTACACCCATACAAGGCCTGATCCCCTTGTAGGATTGCCATCGTCGACGCACATTTCTACATCCAAATCTCATGAGATGCCCCGCACTTTAAATCATATGTTCTCCTTGTCCGACTGCTGTCCGCCTTCTGTGACCCTTGTCAGGGGGCGAATGCAATACAGGCTCTTAGCCTTATTCGCGACTCGATCCTAGATAGGGTTTGAGTTCGACTCATGACTGAGTCTCTCGTGAATAGTCATTTGAGACAGGGTTTCAAGACCGCGCTAGTCATACTGTTGATGATGAAACATCGCTCTAGATATTTAGCCAGCGTGGAGTACTTCCACGCTACTAGATCCAGGCTAGACAAACCTTCCACGCGTTCCGTTTTAGGATCGTGGAGAGACGTAGGATTACTACCGCAACCTACTCTATCACACTTTATAGTCTCCCGCGGGAAGCCAGATCTACGATCCCTTGATGATGATCTCTCTCGTTGATTAGTTTTCATAGCTTTCTAATCTCTCTCATAACTTTCATTCTCTCAAACTCAAAACACTCGAAAGATCTTTACACTAGCTTTTAGCGTAGTGCAGGACCATTCCAAAGCCACATCGAATTGACAAGCAAATCAAACTCACATTGGCCTGCCATTCCTGTCCAAATTCATTGACATGATCAGTGAATTCTGTGTTGTTATGGCCCACCCACTTGCCAGTGGGGTATGCACCAAGAAGACCCTTGCTGGCATGGTAATAGTGTTTCATTTCAGCAACATCCATCTTAATATTCACTCAGTCCTTCTTGACAGTTTGATTGGCAACATTCTTTCCTTCTCCAAGGTCTGTGACGAACATGTGCATGAGATTTTCATCAACACTGTAAGTCACATTGTGGCCTCCGAGAGTGACTGGCATGGAGACCTGACCAATACCATTCAGAAAGTAGTTTCCATGGGAGCTGACTTGCAAGACATCATCACCAATGTATAGTAAGGCAGCTGCTTCAATGTAGGAGTACTGGTAGTCCTCACATGAATATCCATACTTTGGCCATTGCTGAACTTGGGGTTTTCAAGGAAGACAAGATCACACTGTCCGTGGAAATCATGCCACTTTTTATCCCAAGTTTGGATGTGGGGATCGCCAGCAATCTTGGCTTGACTGCAAAGGCCTGGATGACAAAGGTCAGGGGGTAGAAAGTGTTACATTGGGCAAAAATAATAGAATATGCTGAAAGAATGGAGTAAGTATCCTGTGTAGCACAGTCAGGGTTGGGGAAGTCAAACCATGCCCAATCGTTGTGAACATATTAGCATCTCCACAGCTAACAACATGCACAGGGCTGTGCCTCCATATCACAAATATGTCAGGCCAGTCCCTGCCACATTGTTGACCACTCCTGCCTGTAAAATGAGTCACTTAGACTGCACCATTGTTCTTGGCAACGTTGAGGGTACTATCAGGGGCAACTGGAACATTGCTTTGGTCGTTATGCCAATGCTTAATGAAGACACAAAGATCCCCTGCATCGCAGGACTGATGCAGGTAAGCATTTGCACCCCATGGATGACCGACGGTTATTCCAAGGTTAGCAACGGAGCAAGGACGAGACCAAAAGGAGCGAGAAAGAAAACTTCATGGTTCTTCTGTGAAACATCATTGCCGAACAGCAGGTGAGCTTTCAAGCAATGCTAGTGTAGACGCCGCCATTTGCCCATCAAGCACATTGTGCGTGAAGTTACAGTAATTGTTTGTTGCTTGTATGACGGAGCGACGAGGAGTTTTCTTGTGGAGCTGTTTTTAGGGCCAAACATACTCAATCAAAATTGTGAGTGTCTCCGGGAAGGGTTCAAGATACATTTTACTCTGAATATTGCTTTGTATTAAAGAGCTATCAAAAGTTTCATTTACCGCACTTACCTGAGATTCAAAGGGCATCCGTTGCAGTGAAAATCCGTTCTGGAACCAGTACGTTACGTGATCAATGATCAATTCCGGCCGGTACAACCACAAAACTAGCTACTGCTATACCAGTCCCACAGGTACCGGTACCAGTCAGTTTACTAACTACTAACTAGCTACCAGGTACAGTACTTGTAGCTACATTTAGTCTACTAACTCGAGCCAAGATCAGTGTCGATACCTTTGTACGGAAGCCTGAAGTGTGTCAAGTGGCTCAGTCTGCTACATTGTAGCTACCAGCTTCAAGACTGGTAGCTACACGCGTAAGCATAGCCGGAAATGAGTGACAATCGAGCTGAGCCGAGCCGAACCGATTCGATCCGAGTCGAGTCGAGTGACAGTCACGATCACTTGGCTTGAGCCCAGTTAAATGACAGCAAGGTCCCGAAACGGGAATTAAATGGATATGTTTATGTTAGTTTCACTATTTTGGAGTCTTCCTCGACTCCCAAGCCACCGCTTCAGCTGTCCGCAATATGGTTGGCATGGGCAGTTCACAGGACTATTGGGACAACCAAATACACCTGAGTATGCAGTGTCGAAACGATAGTGCTAGCGTTGGGGAACAATGGTGATATCCAGTGCACCAGTGCACCTATCCAAAACCGTTGGAACCCAACATTGAACTGCGTAGCCCGTAAAAAAGGACACCATTGTCCTCTTCCTTTGGTGGCAGCTCAGAGCAATGAGCGGTTGGCTCTTAGCTAGCACTATAGTATCTGCACTGGCAGCCAGTCTAATTGGAGCATGTGTGCTACCACATTGATCCACACAGTCATAGTTTTACCCTTTTGGTTAGTTTTACGCTTTTGTTAGTTTTACGCTTTTGGTTTAGTTTCACGCTATTGTGTTACTCTTTCTGAGTCAGTTTCCTTTTCTTTTCACTTGTCGGTACTGGAAGACACATTTGGGTTATAGATACCGGTAGATGCGGTAAAACATATTTTGATACAAATATACAGAGTAAAGTTTAGCTTTAACCCTATATTTACCATATCTACCATTAAAAACTTGTCTTCCTGAGTTCACGGTAGCGATACTAGCTAGTACGGTACGACTGCAGCGATACAGCCAGGCAGCCAGACTGCTCAAAACCCAAAACCCACAGGCCCTAACTTTTGTACGGATGTACGACTACCTCATTGACAAGATCATGAGATCTCAACAGATCCGGCAGGAACGCGGGAACATACTACTTTGTACTGAGTAATACCTACCAGTACCGGTACGGCATCCGGCACCAAATTAATAAAATCTGCTACTCTACATGTAGACGTACCGGTACCTGTACCGGTACTTTAAATGGCTATTATAATAGCTAACTAGTGTGGTTAGCTTGTGGTTGCAGCTGTGCAACGTGCTAGCTAGCTAGCCACCTGCTACTGAGCTGGAAATCCAACTTCAACGCGCAAAAGATCAAGCATATCAGGTTTGGTTGGCGTTGACTCCCAACCGTTTCCATTCCCATAGCAGACCTTGAGCAGAGCTACCGGTAGCTAGCTGGTCATACGACTGTACTACGTATCATTCTCTCTTTGCCCGGCCAGAAGGTGAAAATGTACTGTGTACTAGAGCCAATGCCGACCACAAACACTTTAGGACAGACCTAAACGTACCAGTACGAGTGCACTAGTAGCGTTTCGCCATGGATGTGGTAGTGAGTCATTGAGACTTCAAACAGGTAATCTTAACGATAGGGTCTAAGTATGCTACGAAAAGTTGGTGGATTCGATTCGCATTGAACAGTACAACCACCTACCATAGAACTTCTTTTCCTTTTAAAAAAGATTGAACAACACTCTGCTAGTAATGTAGTAGTACTGTACAGGACAGTGAGCTGCTTTACTATTACTCCGAGTACCGATGCGGAGACTGCCACAGCGCTACAGATCCGATATCAAACATGCTGGGCTCCTGCTGTAAGCTCTGTAAACTGCAAGTAACCAATTGTCTATTATTCTCATAATTCGGCACTTGAATTGGCTGGTGGAATGTGGAATGTACAGGTTCAAAGCACGAAGAACATTGCAATAAGTAGATTTCGGCCTTTGGTTTGCTAAATGTAGAACTGCAGTGGTGAACGAATGGACAAAAAATTCCTTTTACTATTTGGATGCTTGGACACAAAAATGATCCAGTGGATCTTTCTGTTATTTATTTTGCACGTGCTTAACCTAGTTTTCAGTATTGGCATCTTACAAACGGCGAACTCTGCAAGCACTATTGAGATAATTGTACAGTTGTGCCCCTCAATTCCCCTCCAAAACAGTGTTAAGCTCTGTGATTTAGAAGTGCTGCCGCGTTGAAGCGTCTCCAACCTCGGCTCCACCACATCATCTTTGCATACATCAGCTGTTCTCCTGTACTGTGTCTATTTCTGCGGGAAGAATACACTGGATTATCTTGGATGCTCTGTGAATTGCTATTTAAGTATTTGGAGTACTGGGGAGATAAAGGAATATTTCATATGACAGGCCTCATTAGTTGAACCTGAGACCACTGAAATCTGAGTTCCAAGGACCTTTTTTGCAGCCGTGATGTCAAGACAGGCGACAGGCGAAAGGATCATAAATAAATCTGGAGTATCTGGGCAGCCGTGCAAGAGCCAAGCACTGCACTGCGAGCAACCTATAAAGTCCTAATAAGCGCTTCCGAGGTGGTTTACAGTTGACAGAGCTCATAATGTAACGTAGGTACTCCAACTGACAGGTCTTTTACAGTTAGTTGTTACCCTCGCTGTGAACACCACCGCTGAGCTGAGCACCGAGGCACACCGACAAAAGCAAAGCACAAGTTTGCCACTAGCTAGCTAGCCAGTACTCGAGTAGCTAACAATTGGGCTGCCTACTAGCTAGTAGAAGCAAAATAGTCAAGAGGTTGTAAGCTGGCAGTGGCACAGCATTGCTGCATAGGCATACTAATGAGCGGAGAGGAGGCCAAACCTCCCTTGATGGGAGCTGGGGGGTCTGATCAGGACGATGATGACCGGAAACCTGCTGCTCTTCCTCCTCCTGCGGCTGCAGCCGCGAAACGGTCTGCTTCTGCGATGGAAAGAGACTCGGACAGTTCTAGTGGCAGTGAGGAAGGTCAGGTCTCCGCGAAGGAGAAGCACAAGAAGAAGCAGATGCGGAGATCCAGCGGTGAAGCCACTCAAGCTTCTGCACCCTCGGCGAAGTCGCCATCCTCGGCTATCTCTTTGCAAGAGAAGTGGGATGAAATGTTCAATCGGTTGGTCAAGTTTAAGGTAGGCAAAGGGAAAGCTACGTTTTGATATGGAGGAGTCTTGCAAGGTTTTCAGCATCAGGAACTCACAAGACGCTTCTCCCGGACTTGGACCTCTTTTCTAAAGGAACGAAATGGCCATTGTTTGGTTCCAAACCGGTTCAAACAAGATCCGTCACTGGGCTCTTGGGGTATGTGCCATTGGTGCTGTGTATCCATCCACACGGCTCCGTGAGAGGAGGCTGATGTGTGGCTTCCTTGAAACTAACCCACCCGCGCCCATTCTTTCAGTTGCCACACAGCGCCGGACCTACAAGATACTCACCGGGGGCGGCGGGGCATCCAGCGGTATGAATGTGGAACGAGCAGCGAGACTCAGCAGTATCGGTTTCGGTGCGTTATTTGCCATGTTGTATGACTGTCAGTACCCCCTGAAGCGGCGCTCACTGAGCTATTCCGTCCTGCGTGGCCTACAAAGAGTGGTCGGTACGTGATTTGGCTTGCCCTACCGTGACTGTATGATCGTCAGTTGTCCCTTAACCGGAGCTCATTGATATCTCGATGCTCCCTTACCCGGAAAGACGACGGATCCTCGGCATGTGCCTTGGGAAGAACGATATGAGGAGCTGAAGTCTTTCGTTGTGAGTTTGCAACTGTTTTGCAGTTGTAGCTTTGTCGGCCTCAGATTGGTCTCACACACAAATCTGTACTGCGCCAACAAAATCGTGCTGGACTGTTGTTCAGGCCGCCAACGGTCACGCTGAAGTGTACGTAATGGTGCTTCAGGAGAACACGTGATGCTCGATTTTGCCTAACACTCCTTCGTGAACATGTATGTCTGCTTCAGTCCAATGCGATGGGAGGTAAGGAAAATGCAGACTGGCGACAATCTTGAACCCTTCCTCATGTCTCACTTCGACTCATTCCTCGCTCCAGGAAAATGTTCAGTTGAGCAATTGGGGTCAGTAAAGTATTGTCCGGCAAGGGTTGGAAGAGCACGCGATGTGATTTTCTCGTCTTATCTTGTATGTGCTTCTTTCTTCGCAGTTTCGAAACAGGTAAGGACTGCTGGAGGAGGCTTTGATAATTGCGTGTAGGCCTTGGCAACCTCACATTCCGGTGGGTTGTTGTGTTTTGATACTTGCAGCGGCAAGACTACAAGCTTCTTCAACTGGGAAAGACGTCACGGTTGACGGAGCGGCGGAGAAGGTTGCTCAATGAAGTTGGTTTCGTCTGGGAAATATCGAGAAAGGGACGTCGATTGAGAACTGCCCGCCCACCTCAAAAAGAATCCACGGCAACTTCGACCGGGACCGAAGAGGATGGAGAGCCAAGCTCTCCCTCGGCACGTGAGCCTCAGGTGGTAGCACCGTCTACGGATGGAAACGATGGGGGCAACCCATCCGCGTCAAATCCATCTGGGACCCAGGATGCCGCTGCCGTTTCCTCGGAATCTGCAGTACCGCGCCTTTCTGAATTGTTGAGAGCAACGGCGCCTGCTCCAAACATGGGAGGCGGTGCGGCTAGCACCGGCGCTGCAGCGCGGGTGACGAATTCAGATTCTTTTTCGCAGCTCTTGCAAAACATCCTGCCGCAGCAAATTGACCTCCCCCCAGGGGTGCTGTCGCAGCTTCAACAGCCCGGTATCTTGAATCAGTTGGCATCGCTTCAAAACCCGACACATCCAAATACGGCGTTGATGGAAGCTATCCTCCGTCAGCGGCAGCTTCCTGCGTTGCAACCAACAATTCCTGGTACCAACTTGCAGGCAATCCTTGGGACTCGGGGACAACAACAAGGGATGTGGCAAGCATCGTCCAGTAACCCAGGCCAGCTGGCAGCAGCACAATTACGAGCAAGTCAGCTGTTACTAGCCGGCGGTGGGTTGCCGCAACTGCAGGGGTTACCGCAGCTGCAGCAGTTGCAGCAAAGCGCGATACGGTCAGGAGTGCCTATGCAGCCGGCGTTGGTTATGGTGCCAGTGCAGATGGGCCAAGGCAACACGCGTCTTCCGCTGCAACAGAATGCGATCTCGCAACAACAAGCGTCTCTTTTGGCTGGGGCGCAGCAGCAACAACAACTGCAAAACTTGCTAGCACGGGGGCAACAAGCACTGCCAAGTAGAAGAGTGCTGGATCCAGTTGGGCTTGAGGTAGGTGCAAGCGGGGCACCCGAAGCTCTTGGAAGACAGATATATCATCTTGTTTCCCAACCATCCTTTGAGCAGACACAACAGGGACGGCAAGCTCCACCCGGACCACAGGAACAGAACCAAGGGGGAGAAAGCAAAACGGAGACCTCCGCTGCCCGGCAGGACCCAGATGGCCATACCGCGGACTGATGTGCAGTAGCTCACCCGGGCTCCTCCTCGCCGTGATCCTTGCCTTCCTGCACGTGTTTACTATTGTATCATTGCGGGTTAACTATAAGCACTTGTGACCTTACAATTGCAGCCTGAGTTATTCAGACACACTGATAGCATGGTGGTACCGGTTGGAGGGGGAGAGGTCAGAAATCAGAAAGGTCGGCCTGGTCGCCTTTCGCTTCAGCGCTGACATTATCTTTGATGTTTTTAGGTTCGGGTTTCACGGAGCCGGAGGCGGCATCACGGACAAACATCCCACAAAAAGACCGGTCACTTGGATCAGTGGTGCTCCGCAGTTGCAGACCTTACCCCAAATTATTTGAAGGATACAAATAATAATGAAGGGGGCAGCTCGTGAGAGAGCGGGAGGCACATCCTATCCATTGGATCTGATGAAACATGACAATGGGGTAGACTTCTGGTGCCACCTCGTTGCTGGATGCAAAAAGCTCCAAGGCCAAGGCTTGTACTGCTTATCCATACAAGAGTCCCCATCTCCAGTACCGGTACAAAGTGCAACAGTATTGAAGTCAAGCCTCCCTCCCAGTGTTGATTGTTGCAGGAGCTTCTTCGGCCGATTTCCTCCTCTCCGTGACATGAGATATGGCTTCTAGAGTCGTCCGCCACCTCATCTCTCGTCGAGTGAGGCAATGGGGAAAATCTCAGAACGGAGACGCTCCAACATTTTGTGCTCGTTTGGTGCTCTACAAGCACCGCACCTGTGCAAATGAACTCTGCCACTCTCGACCAAGACCAGCGAGAGGACTGAACTTCTGCTGGAACTGTGGTGTGTACCGAATGCCCTCCGCTGCAGCATCATACACCCCCATTTGGTGCACAGCTTCCAGATACCGCGGATTGGTGTTCACGAAGCTTCATGTCCGTCCTTTACCTCTCCAGCATTCCACCGCGACAACTGGCATGTTGAAGATGGTTCACATTGCTCTCTCGGTGCTCAATCTATCCGCCAAACTACGTGGAGAAGATGAACACGAGAGGATGTTCAGAGGACGGGAGAGACACCGTTGTTTCTGTAGCCTACCAGTTTGCCCTGCAACAACCGAACCTTGGAAGCGTGCTCGTGTATTCGTGTATTCGTGTACGGAAGTCTCGGTGTTCATCTTATCCTCCAATCTACCGGTACGCTGAAGGACATGAACGCGAGATGGCGACCAGAGGATGGGAGGGACGCCAAATTGTCGCGTTCTGAAACGAAACACAGTCTGATCTTCTAGCTGGACGCCCAGCCTGGGCCCGGCTCTGGGTGATGGGTTATTGAATGTCGGGCGCTTCGTGTGGCTGATGGTCCATGATCAGGCAATGTTTACCAGCACCGGTGCACTGCGCCATCGTTGGATGTAGCGGACTGCATAGGCGATGGTTTTATCTATCGGAATAAGAGGACAGATCTACTAGCCGAGGACTCATATAATGCCAACAACAGGGAACGTACTAGCAGCTGCTGCTACTGCTAGAGTTGCCGCGTGGTTTTGTTCTGATACCCTCTTTTTCGAACCGTTGCCTTGATCCGACCTCGAGCATAGCTGGTAACAGCTCCATACATGTGTAGGGATACTTTGTTTCAAGGCCGAATTTGTAGTGCTAGTGAGCTCAAATAGATCCTACGTAAGCAGCAGAGCGGATTGTCATCCAACTCTCTGAATACAAGCATATGCTAGCTAAAAGAAGTGTGACGGCCAAAAGCATGCATCGGTTCGGTACTGGGATCTGGATAGAATTCATATCATATCATTGATGTCGGTACATCTATCAATAATGTTCTACTGCACATGGAACCTATAGTCTTTCCTATCTTACTGGGCTATTTCTTTATTTGATTCTCTTTTTGGTCATCTTTTTGTTTTTGCCGATTCCTCCACGTCCCTTCTTCTTCTGGAAAAGAGCCTTGTTGGAACCATCGTCGTATTCATAGTCATACGCTGTGACGCCCTTGGCCAGTTTGCCCTTCTTGCGGGCCTTTTCGGTTTCAACGCCACCACCGTGCAAGACTGTCTGAAGTACCTTGGCGGCACGTTCTTGCTCGCCCTTTCCGCTGGTCTTACCCGTGGATGACTCGGCCATGTATTTGCGTTTCTTTTTGCTAACGGGGAATTTGCGTTCCGGTTCTCCTTCGACTGGTTTGTCGAATCGGCCCATGGAGGCCGTGGACTTTTGGGTAGCCTTGAGTGCTGCCAACGTGGATGCTTGTCCACGCAATTTGTTCTCTGTCATGTCCACAGGTACACCCACAGGCAATCCGGCATTGCCTCCTCCTTCCCGGCCCGCTTTGCGTGATTCCGTGCGGCTCTTGAGTACCTTTCGAGCGGCTCCCTTGGGCAAGACACCGGCTCGTTCTTGATTTTTCATTTGATTCTGTCGATTGTCTTCGGTCCTGGCAAACTTGGCATCCCGCTGTTTTTGCCATGGATCTTCGTAGGGATCATCAGTGCCTCCAACTTCCATAATGGGCCAATTGTTGTCCTTGGCATTGGCCTTGTCGTATCCGTGACGGAATTTCCAAGTGTCCGTGGCTTCGTCCCAGACTTTGCGGGATCGTTTTTCCTTGTTGAGTGGAATGCCTCGTTCTTTGGCAAATTTTTCCCATTTGGTTTCCGCCTTTGGGGGTGGAGGTGGTAAAACCCTGGGAATGGGGATCTTGTCGTAGGTTGGCAAGTGGACCATGGGACCGGCATCACTTCGTTCCGTGGGTAGTTGCCAGAGGGCGTGAATCAACTGCGTACAGCCTTCGGTGGCTTTCTGCAACAAGTACTCCTCATTCAACACTTGTGCCGCATTGTTGATTGTCAGTTTTTCGTCTTCAGCTGGAATCTCTTGCTGTTTTTTCTTTTTCTTCTTTTTGCTGGCCGATTCCGAGTCATTCTTATTCTTGTACAGAGATTCGTGGTGGAGAGGATGAGAGTTGACGGCTGTCAAATTGCGAAGATCAAAGGAACAGGGTTCTTCGCTGTCCATCATGACCAGGGACGACGCTGTCTGGTTGGCAGTTTTCTCTTCTTCCTCTTCTAATGATTCATCATCATCTTCTTCTTCTTCGTCATCATCGGAGGGCTCGTCGTTCTTCTTGTCATCTTCAATTTCGTCGGTGCCTTCATCGCCTTGCTTGTCGTTGTCATCATCATCACCCTTTTCCACAGGAACGTCTTCTTCTTCGGCATGAGCAGAAGAATCGTCTCCAGGGAAGAATGCGTCAACTGTAGCGCCATAGTCCACCTGGTCCTCCTTTTCCTCCTTTGGAGCACTGTGCTGCTTCTTCTTGCTGCTCTTCTTTTTCTTGGATCCCATGGTCAACCACTGATTTGTTGTGCTGTGGGTTGTTGGGGTTGCTTGGATTTGCTTGGGGTTGAATGTTGGATGGAATAGTGAGAACAACCCTCTCACATTTTTTCGTCTCTGGAATGATTGGTGCCAAACTCGATTTGGTCTGTCCTTTGTCCTCTTGGGTCCCTTTTTGGTTTCTTACGGGATTGAATCTAGCCAGTAGAGAGGCAAAACAACCGGAGCCTAGAGTTTCAAGGTTGGGCCATTCCAAGGTTGGTCCGGGCGTTGGTGAGTGGTGGGTGAAAGGCGGGGCCAGGAGTTTTCCAGGTGTTGCCCTGTTGTTGGGGCTGGAGTGAGGCCTGGAGATGAAAAAGGAAAGTACTGGTGTATGTAGGGCATGCTGTGGAATCTGGGTGGGGCCAGGAGTTGGCCTGGGTAGTCCAGACGTTGGCAAATCCTTGATTGCTTGCAATGGGATGCGTAAGTCGGACTTGGTCCAGAATTTGGTACGACTGTACATCATATCTGCAAGCAATGGAAATGGAGCGAGTACAGGGCATATGGTTGTAGACGGGCCGGATTTGGCCATGGGGAACCGGTGGAGCTAAAATGTCCGGTTCCTGCCAAACTGCCATCTTCGTTTCCGCTATGGCTGCATGCTTCGACACCCCACAACGCCTCAAGTATTTCAAATGATCGACGGTCAAACGAACATTGCGGGACTAGCTAGTGAAGCTCATGAACGCCCACCCGGACAACCGAAACAGATACCACAAGCTCAACATGCAAAATCTATTCAGCAAGGAGAACCCCAGGAACACCATTGAATTCAGAGGCTACGGCTCTACTCTGGACCCGGTCGAGATTGAGAACTGGGCGCGGATCCTCAATCAATTTGTTGAGGCATCTTTGGCTAAACCAAAGCCTGCACCATTCAAAGACAGCACCAAAGTCAAAGCCCAGCTAAAGAGATTGCTCACAAAGTTCATTGCTGAGTGATCACTTCGAAGATATCTACTGTACGAAGAAGAGCATTCGAAATAAAGAATCAGTGCTTGTAATTGATTGTAACCAAACGATGGAACTATTTGTGCGATCATGCAAACGTTGCTTAAATCGTCACCTCTTTCGCTGGCTACCGGTCCTAGATACCGTAAAGCACTTTGGTGGGGAGTTCCGCTTCTTCTTGACCCCAGCATGGCATGCTAGCTCCCGGTAGGCCCCCTACTCCATCTGCACCAGTGGAAAGTACACAGATCGTCCTCCTCTGCGCGCCCAAGAGACTGACTCTTGTCTAATTCGGAAGAGCACCTATATCGTGCCCAAAAGTTCTTGAGGCTTGGAACTCTTCGGAGTAGAGTTCTTATGCGAATTTGCGCGTCTCTTCACCATTCCCAGCTTCTTTTCGACTTCAATCCATGTTTGTACACCAACTGCATCAGCAAGTGCATGGAATGAACCTATTGATACCAACACAACCGTACAAGTTGCGATCGGAAGAAGCAGCTGTATTGCACCAAAGACGACCAAAAACGAGAAGAACACCAACGTTTGAATCAAATCTGACTGATGCTGCCACCAAACGAAGATGCAGATGCCGCAGTAGCTGTACGGGGAAAGGTATTCTCCCTCTTGTGTGGATTTGGCATCGTCTGGTTGGAATCCCTTTGGAGGATCTTGGATGGACAGTCTCCACAATGACACGTATCGATAAGGTGCCAGCATCCAGTGAAGAAGCGTCTGCTGGGAGAGGAGATTCCAGTTCCCAACGCGAATGAATTCTCCATCGTCAATAGTGATGAATCTAGCTTTGGAGACACTAGAGTGGTGGTCATCAGGAGCTGATAATATCGATGCATAAGTGGAGGTAGCAACTCCATTCACCACGATTGTGCCGGATTCAGTCAAAGCATTGAAGAAACCTTTTCGTATGACTTTTTTCACACTTTCCACTCGGGCATACGAGTGTGCAGCGCTCGGCGGCCAAGAGCTTTGTATGGTTAACTCTGCAGTCATGTTCGTGTACTCGAAGAAAACATGAACATAGTCACCTGCTTGGATTTGACGAGCTGGTACCGGATTGTCCTTTCCCTTGAGGTAGACCATGTGGAAAGCGGATAGTTCCAACATTGTTGCGGAGTTCATCTCGTCTTGCAAGACATGTAGCTGCAGAAACTCTGTTGGCGTCTTTGGATCATAGTGGTTTATGCTGTAGATTGTCTGGTATGATGGCACTCCATTGGATCCTGCCGAAAGCACTCGATCTCCAACCCGCAAGTCTTTCATCTCAGTTGGTTGTTCTTGACCCTCCAGTTGCACAGTCATGTGAGGGGCGAAACAAAAGAACCCATTCACGAATCTTGACACGTCCTGGTATGCCTCACATGCAGTTGCATTTTCACCGCAAACCCATCTTTTGTTGTCCCCGTAGAACTTCGAAATTCTCGGTGCGACAAGACGAATCTGTCGAGCGCAATTGTTTCTCCAATCACCCAATGGCTCTCCCTGGAACGTTGTCCCGGATTCGGAAAATCGAGGGACTACAGGGCAGTCATTATGAGGATTCTCGTCACACTGCCCCTGCCTGCAATTATAAGCCATGACCGTCCGGAACTGTCCCTTAGGATCACGCCATCCATGTGCAGGCCAAACCGATGTCCAGTCACAACTACCATCCGTTCCTCTGTCGTGAAAGCTTCAAGGCATTGCACATGTCAGTTTCCAAATGTGCTAATGAGCCAAGTTGAAACAAAAGAAGTGCACTCACCAGCCGTAATTATGGCCCAGCTCGTGACCGAGCTGTTTGATATCCAGGGAAAGGAAGGTGGCACAAGGTTGACGGGGTAAGAGAGATGGTACTAGTACATGCAATAAGCGACGTAATGTGCATGCCAGCAATATCATTCTTACCACATAGACTCCTGTCAAGCACTGCCAGTAAAGCACAGAATACATGAAGGGGGCCGTTGGGTGTGGTACCAAAATAGTACCGATAGATGCAGCCCCACAGTACGAATTAGTGTTGACCACCAGAGAGACCATGTCAGCTTCGTATTCCCTTCGAACCTGCTGCACATCGTCGAGATGACCGTTCCAGGGGTCGATCAGATTGACAAGGGAACTGCCAAACATGCCCACGCCCAATGGATCGTCTACCGTATCAACCCTTTCATCATATGTTGGATGGCGATAGGCATGAACCAACTCATGGCGAATATCAATGTTGCTCATGATGTATATTGTGTTCGTTTCGGCGACAGCTGCTGCAATGATTGCTCGCATATTGTCTTCAGTTTCCTGCGTGACCTCACAGTCTTCGACCAATTCAGAGTATTCACATTCTGCCCTCTTCGTCCACACAATCATCAATGTAACAATGTCAATATTGGAATTATCATTGCCATCGTCCTGAGCGTCAATGTCGTCTCCACCATCGTCCTCAGTGCCGGTTCCATTGCTACCGGTATTGTTGGAACCACCTTCTTGGGTTTCGATGGCCATCTGCTTCTCACGCACAGACAGCAAGTATGCTTGATCAGCTTGTTCGTGATATTGCTCAACCTGGGCCACAAATGCTGAATCAAACGTCAGAGGGTCTGATGATTCAGGGAAGTCTCTCGAAGGTGTAATAGCCGCCTGCACTGTCACGATACTCTCCTCTTGATCCTGTACCTTCCGCTGATTTTCGGACGGGTGTGCCTTTTGATGGAATTGGTAGATTCTCTTCGTATCCAATTCCACAAGAGATCCAACAAGTTGCTCCCGTCCTGATGCTGACGACTTGACTCGCAGTAGCTGGATTGTGTCTCCTCCCTCGGTCTCTCCCACAAAATGCACATTTCGAGCTGAATTTCCGAGGACTTTGGTAAACGTCTTGATGGGTCCATCTCGACTTAGTTGGAGTTGCAAAGATGGGCGATCATAGAAATCACGTCCAGATCCCAAGTTGGCCGCATCAAAGGAGATGTACTGTGTGCTTTCTGTGTTTCCAAAGGATGCCACATTTTCATCGTAGCCGCCCAAAGCAATCATATCTTGCGCTTGGATCATCGGTAGGCATAATAACATGACCAACATCATCGGAAAGACAAGCCCCATAGTCTTCTGAGGTCTCGCCGCCATGGTCGGAACACATACCGGGGGAAGTTTCATGTTGAGAGCGGTATCGTACCGTAATTGCAGATAGATCTTCCAATGTTGAAAGATGGGTTGCAGGTTGTTGGATGCAGAGCTTGAATGAGGGCAGCCCGTTGAAAATGTGAGCGATGAAAACGGTCAAAAGGACGTTATGTCCAGTTTCGCGTAGACGCACATTTGCCCGCTCCGATCCCAAACCTTTGGTCAATAATATGGGAGGCAAACCCAGGCTTTGAACGGTCTGGGTAATCGAACGGTGAACAGTTCCTGTTGGGTTGCTAGCTAGCTTGAATGGAGGCAAAAGTTCTCGTGTTGCTTTTGAGCCCGTAGGTCTCGAAATTGCTTGCTGCAACTAGAACACTGAAACTTGACTTGAGCTTCGTCGGAGGAGGCACTACTACCATCCCATGGCAGGAATTGTTTCTCATGGTCTTCCTGTGCCTTGGCATCTGGGAAGACTAATCCACAAATGTCACAAAAGCCATAACTATCTTCTTCTGCTTTGTGATTCTCATTCTGAACTGGTGCTCCTGTTGGATAAAACCAATCGGGCTTGATAGTGTCGTGTTTTCCAAAGTGTTTGGCCTTGTTGTGGTCTTCCAGGGCTTGTGCACTTTGGAATATTCTAGGCCCGTTGGTACCTGTTTCAGGGTTCTGTATACAACAGAGGTTGCAGGCATAGATGATTGTGGTTGTACTAGTGATGTCTTCTTGTGCTCGTTTGCGCTTTTTGTTTTCGTGGACAGCTTTGACGTGACACTTTCTGGACCGTTCTTCTTTAAATCGTTTGTCACAGTGAGGACACGGAAATGGAAGGGAATCTTTGTTTTGCTGAATGTTCTTTGAATCTCCCGAGTGACCGTCATCACGCCCAGTAGTAGCATTCAGTTCCAAATCCAACAAGGCAGCAACCAAGACTGGGGTTGTCGTGTCATCTTGTTGGTGTTCCTGATCACTGTTTGTGTTTCGTCGTTGTCGAAAGGTATATGTCACACTGCCATCGGGTGTTCTGGAGGCAAAGGACTTTCCTGTTTGATGCCTACGGTGGTGATAGTATGGATTGTCGACTTGTGGAGCCCGAAAGGGTCTAGAATCCGCCAAGACCATGTTGTGTCTCTCGGCGGCTTGTTGACACTTCCATCGTTCAAATTGACCCTGAACCAGTGTAAGGTGAAACCATCCATCATCATCATCCTGCTTTGGGCCAATACCAAGCCACACCGTAGAGACGGAATGAAACAAGTGACACAAGAATCGGGCATGTCGAGCAGCATCTTCCGTGCCCAAGTGTGGATGGTTGAACACAACATGACGATGGCGATAATGAGAGGGAAAGATGCCAGGCAGCTGTTTGGCGGATGGAGATGATTGAATGGCATTGACATTGTGATGAACCGTCACACGAAGAACACTTCCTTTGGCCGCCATATCGCTCTGGTCCAGACCACGTAGCTTTGTCAGTAGAAAGTTTGAATCTTTGTACTTGGAAGTCAAGGCTTCTAGAGAATCAAAGCCAGTAGCAACCAAGTGGAACAACTTTTCGCTCTTGTAGACAGAAGAAACTGTGGAACTCGTGACGAGATGGCGAGCCAAATCCAACGAGTAGGAAAAGTCGCCATCACCCAACACCAACAAAGACACTTCATTTCCCCCCTCTCCGATGGTTGACGGTTCCGACATTATGACCTAGTCAGACTTGTTTGTTCTTCTGCGAGCTACCAATTGAGAGCGGAAGGATCACACCTCCAAACTCATCCATCGCAAAAGCACTTTGCGCCATTGCCAAGGATCCTGTGCATCGCACGATCACATACATCTATCTTGCATTTTGCTGCCTCTGCCAAGAATTTCAATCACGACCAAAGCGTGACAATATTTGGTTTTCCACGTTCCACGCTCGGACCGAAAAGTTCGCCTCCTCCTCCGGCGGCTCATTCAGTTGCAAGTCTTGCATTTGCCAGTCAGCTTTTCCTGGAACTACATGTACGTTGAGATGAATGACGTAACCCCAGCGCAAACCGTAGGTGACCAAGGTCTCGCCAGCTGAGAGGTATTCAGTGGCAAGCACGTGACCTTCACGCTCGCAGAAAGCATTTATTTCTAGTACTGCATATGTGAGACTATAATAGCTAGCTAGATGCCATGAGTACAGTACGTACACTTGTAGTCTATCTATCTTCCCTCCCCGATGAACCACTCTTCCAAACCCCCAAAAGAAAAATTCTGGAGAGCCTGCAAAATGTTTTGGGTCTGGATCTTTTGAAACTACGGCGCGCGATTTAGTAAAGGCGTTCCGTTCGACCGTTGGCTTCTGTCTGAAACCCGTAACAAGTCTGGATGTCTGGATTCTGGATCTCGCTCTTCATTTATTTTTCTCCTCGTGTGTCCACAATTCACAATAAGGAGTGAGGTGTGAGGTACAATCATTCATAAGCAAGCAACGTTACCGTATTATGGTTGCCGGTCCTACCAGCGCAATTAATGTTATCTTCTTCGTCGCGTCACTGTGCATCCGCCCCTCTGTGGCTCAGGGCTTTCTTCGCAACTCGGAGGAGAGCGAATTTCCATTCGAGTTGTATGGCTCGGACGTAGTCGTCGTCAACAGAACTGATGTCGAATTCCTGGCGAGTGATGAGCTCGGTGGACGTAACGATGGAACTACTGGCTCTCTCCTAGCGCAAGAGTTTTTGATCGACAAGTTGCAAGCGATGGGTGCGGTTGGCCTCGTATCATCAAAGTCAGGACGAGATGCGTTCCGGCAAGACGTATACAGCCGTGGCACCAATATACTTGGCATCTTGCCGGGGAGCGACCTTTCGAATGAGCATATCTTTCTGAGTGCTCACTATGACCACATTAGCTTCTGCGAAATCAAGGCGAACGCAGATAGCAATATCTGCAATGGTGCTACCGACAACGCTGCTGGGGTTGCCGTCGTGCTGGGCATAGGGTCACGGATTGCGGAACTTTCCGAGCGGCCACGGCGGAGCATTGTGTTTGGATTCTGGGATAGAGAGGAAGATGGACTCATTGGATCCCAATACTTCATTGAAGAGGATCCGCTGATCCCATTGTCCCAGATCACAACTTTATTGAACTTTGACATCATGGGCTCGAACCTGCTGCCAAGTTTACGAAAGGTCTCGTTTGCAATCGGAGCGGAGAGCGGTGGAAGTCAACTAGAATACTTGGTTGAGCAAGCTGTTATTAGTGATGTTAGCGGAGATCTCAATACTGTCACGATCAGTGCAATTCTCGGTTCACAGCGCAGCGACTACTTCAACTTCTACGAAATGGACGTTCCCATTGTTTTCTTTTCCGACTCTACGGGCCCGTGTTACCACACGAATGGTGACGAGATTAAAAACGTTGACTTTGACAAGCTTGAAAAGCAAGCTAGAGTGGCTCTCAAACTCACATACAATCTTGCAACAACAAACCGGAAAATCAAGTTTACGGAACCGTGCATAAATCCCACGAACGAGCTTTCTGGAATTGATTTGCTACTCTTCCCAGCAGAGTTCAGTGACCTGCGTGTACTCAACAATTTAGTCAACCAAGCCTATGAAGACATTGATCTTTTTCCCGAAGCCGCCAAGCCAGAGTTTGAGTTTATCAAGTCTGAGCTCAACTGCCTCACGCGCTGGGGGCCCATAGCATTTCCCTTCATCTTGGCACTTGACACGGAGCGATTGTTCATTCTGCTGCCTCTGATTGATATTTTTACAACTCCGGAATGCGCTGGTTTCCAAGCTGATTCTAGCTAGATCGAAAAGCAGTTATGGGAAACCAATGCCATGTATGCAACCTAGCCCAGCTAGCTAGCTTGTACTGCAAAGGGATCCATATTGCCAAGACAGCACCTGCAACGGGTGAAACCTCCAAGAGCTACGGGTGGCCGTCTCCCGTCCAGCTACAGGAGGAGAGGGAGAAAGTTTTGTACGGTAGAGGGCCTTGAAGCAATAGGCCAGAATGTATAGAGAGCCTGCCCGCAACAGTTCCGAGTGCAGGGAGGAGACGTCCATCGGACTGTGAAGTTGTATATATTCATCAGGTAGGCGGCACTGTGTTTCCAAAGAATGGGTTGAATTGCAACCCTGCTTCGGGACGGGACCAGCTAAATTCAATGTGTGATGGCAACCTCGGTGGATCGAAACCGAATCATTGAATATAGTCGGGCTCAAGATTGGTGAAACGCGATGGTGCATCTACAATCTGTTGTTACCTGAGATCTCGATAGGTAATGCTAGAGACTTCTTTGGATTGGTGAATTGAAACTCGGCAGATACGAGTCTGTGGTCGCTCCCTCGGCTATCTTGGTGTATGGTGGCAACATTCCCGACACATTCCAGTAGACCAGGGGAATAGACTACGTGATCGTAATCTAGGGCCAAAAGTGGGATCATGCCATTACATAATTCAAAGCTCCACGAATTCGTACAACACCGTCCACCCAAACAAAAGCTACTTCCAAACCATGTGCCTCCTTTGTTGACTTTGTCAAGGGCAACCATTCCCAAGTCTTGCGTCAGATACTGTAAACAAGGGGAATTCCATCGTCGTTCATTAAAGTCCCCCACCACCACTGTAGGTAAGCTGGGATCCAATGCACTGGCAAACGTTTGCATTTCATGAAGTCGTTTTTGCTTGACACGCTGGGAGAAGAAACCTCCTATCCAGTTGGCATGCCCACCCCACCAGTACGGCTCCACTGAAATCTCTACAGGAGCTCGGAGGTGCACCACCAACAACTGTAAAGTTTGGAACGGATGCTCTGGTTCCTGATGCGTGGGAATTTGAAGCGTCACACATCCCGCTGGATACCACCATCGTTCAGTTTTGGGAATCACCGTCCATCTCTTAATGGGATGCTTGCTCAGTACCGCATAGCCAGCCCAACTATTCCCCGGTGGATTGTGAAACCGAATATGAGGATATACGTCACTCAACACGCTGCTTGTCACGAAGGACTCCCACTCATCGTTGACTTCCTGCAGAGTCACAACATCCTTGTCACAACGCAAGATTGTATCCAGCACCTGCTGGTTGGTAGGAGCCTTACAGACGTAGAATACATTGTAGGTAGCCACAGTGAAGTTTGGAGAGTTCATCATTGTCATGAGTTGTTTGTCGCTGTTCCTTTTTCCTTTGGCCGGTCGAGCTGCGAGACAGCGAGATGGATGCAATCATTCACTCAGTAAGGTTAGGGCTTTGACTCGCTTGGCTACAGTGCCTGTCGGTACTAGCTAGACTAGTACTAGTATGCATAATTGGCCGCACCAACCACAAACCAAAACCAAACCCATGAACCTCAAAGCTCCAGGTAAAAGGAACCTGACCCATCGACCAGCAGCATCAGATTGTATGGCTTGGTTATGAGAACTTGATGGAAGCCGAGTTAATCAGTCTGTATAACGCATGAGAGTCTGAGAGCTGGTTAGCTAAGTACATGTATGAGCTCATGTACCGGTACGTATGTATGTAACTATGTTTCTTCAACTTGCTTCGTGTAGCTTGACTTGCAAGGAATGGCAGCCAAACAAGGAGCTGATGGCTGACGCTTATTTGCAGCCAATTGGGATTTATGTAGTATCCATACTGAGTGCTCTCGGTGCGGATGTGATCAAGCTAGACTATCTGACTTGGTGCAGGCAAATTTCTAAGCATGGTCTAAAAACGAAGGAGCTCGCAGAGCCTGATGAGCCAAGCCCAACGTCGAGACTCGTACATGTACCGGTAGCATGTAGCTCACCAGTTTGGCAGTTTGGCTGTTTGGTCGGTTTTGTTTTTCTTTGGTTGGAGAGCTGCTCTCTGGATCTCTCTGGAGCTCTGGAGAGCTGGGACACCCTATCACTTATCACTGCAGTTCTAAAGGTCATCCCATTTAAATCCTAAGTTCACCGAAAGTAGCATGACTGTTGATCGTTGAACGTTTAAAAACGTGAACCCAAGAAGAATAGTCTCTGCTCTTCAGCTGCTCTTCACACTTCACAGCGTTCATTCGTAACGGTTGCCATTAAGTCTTGATGGCTGTGCCGGTACTAGTATGCTGTCCGCTTCGTTCTTGCCAGAAGAGGTGGTAGGTGGTACGGTAGGTGGTACTAAGTAGCTGGCTGCCACTCTTCAGCGTTCAGCGGGCTCAAGAGAAACGACTACTATTAATAGTAGCAGCCAACCACTGGCTGTACAGTGGAATGCGACAAGTCACCAACGGGATCTTCTTTTGTTCAGAGACCAACCTTAGCACTTCATCCTTTCTGTCGAGGGAGTTGGCAACTCCAGTCTTGAAAGTCTCCTATTAGTAGCCAGTTACGTGCAGTTTATTGGTTTGCTGAGAGACTCTACTAGCAACTAATCCGCAGTACTTTTGCTCCAACTGGATACCGGTACAGAGAGGTGCGCTGATCTCCGGTTGTTAGCAAGGCAGCAAGCTTCAAGCAACTTTGCCAAAGCTACTAGCTGGCCAGCTGGAGCGGGAGCTGAATTACTTAGCTGGCCTGTATCTTCTGAGGCATACTGTACCTTCATCCCGCATAATGCATAACATCATGAGACATTGCAGGCTGCGGCGCGGCTCTGCTCTGGGGCACAGTACTTGTACATAGACTATGTACTGTACTGGCCTGTCGGTAGCCAGCCAGTGACCCTGTTTCCGTACCGGTAGCCCAGCGAGCCCAGCATAGAAAATGACCCGGAATCCCGGCAGAACATCAATGTTTTTGACTTGGGAAGAGCCTGTTTACGAAATTTTCGGAGCTTCGGAGCTCGGTGGTTAGAAGAAGTGCAAGTGGTGCGTTCTTGGCTGAACGACATAAATCCCACCCATTGTATAATCATCATAAAACGAACTTCCCTTTTGGCAAACAGTTCTTAGATTATTATTTTTTGAAGAGAAAAAGAGAACAATGGTAGCCTCCGTTGTATCCACCGAGAGCACCAACTCAACGGCTTCCAAGTCGTCTTCCGGCGGCGGTGGTGCCCCCAAGCCAATGCCCATGGCAGTCATGAGGAATGCCCACGAGGTGATCCGTGGGGCCATGGATGATATTCAAGAGTCTATCGACAATGGTGACTTCGAAGCGGCCCGCGCCGCGTGGACCCAGTTCAATCGCTTTAGTGATTTGCACATGAAGATGGAAGAGGGACGGAAGGGGAGCAACGCCAAGGGTCTGTTTGCCATGGTGGATGAACATGCGGACAAGGCAGCTCGCAAAGCCGGTCTTCGTGACCATCACATGAACCTCTACGAGCTCGAGGAGGATGTGGTGGATATTTTTGACAAGGCGCCAGATATCGATCGCGCCAGGGAAGTGTACCCCATCTTTCGACAAGAAAACGAATCCCATTTGAAAGAGGAAGAAGATGTGCTGATGCCGGCCATTCAGAAAATGATCAAGAGCGGTGTCCCCGTCAAGAAGTACATTGAGACCGACATTATCCCTCTGCTCTTGGCGAAAGAAGGGGATATGGAATTCTTCATCAAGTTCAGCAATGAAGTCTTGATACGTCATGACAATGTAGACGGCAAACCTCGTGTACGCGTTTGGAACCATGCTCTTTGGTCGGTGGCAACTCCGGAACAATGGAAGGAATGGGATGCTTGGATCAAGGAGGTTCTGCCGGAGGGAAAATATGCTGAAGTTGACAATGCCATCCAGGCCTTTCGTAATGAGCAAAAGGCCAAGAAACAAGCCAAAAAGGACGCAGAAGCGGCAAAGGAAGTGCCTCCCATTGCGAATATTGACGTGGGAGGACGGAGCCGATCCAGAAGTCCCAAGCAGTTTTTCAAAAAAATCTTTTCTTAAGGTACTGTACGGTGCGGTGGCTTGCCGTGTGGATCGGAGGGCTGGTGGTGGCTTCTTGGAAAAGAGCGCTCTTCTTCCTGCTTGTGGATATACCCTCTGCGTTGAATATACAAAAGACAATCTATATGGTACATATTGCTGATGAAACGGCCGAAAGCAAAGTCAATGGGCAACACGCTCTTAAAATTTAAGACAACAAAACATGTTTGGAAAGCTGCCAGTACATTGTAGGATGGGATCGATCATGTCAGCAAAGACCTGCGGCGGTACAAGCATCCAACCCCCACCGAGTCGAGTAGACCTGGGTCATTACTGATGCTGAAGTTAGTCTGCACAGGTTTTTCTCTAGGTGATGCTCACCACCAAGTCCGGATCCGAATATTGGTGGGTGCACCTGTTCAAAATAAGATTGGTCGGGCATACAGCTCACACTCCCGTAGATGCCATGGTTTACCCCTTCGGCTGCACCTGCTGGATTGCCTGAGCTGGAAATCCTGGTACAGCTGTAACGCCATTCTTGCTAGCAAACAGTCTTCTTTTCGTCGAAACGAAGCCACACTCGGCCGTTCCAATGCAAGTTGCTTCCTTTTATAATTCAATCTACTTTATATTCTACGTGTGGCTAGCTCTCCATCCATTCGTTTCATTTGGTTTGGTTTGGTTTCTAGTCTTGATTGACGTAGTTGATCGCTGGTATGGCAAACTTCATATCATTGTTGGCTACGGCACGAGCAATAGCTCGAAGAACCTCTTCTTTGTTGTCGCTATACTCTTGACTAGAGGGTTGTATTTGAAAGTGAACATTGACGACACACTGAATATGATCATCTTGGTAATTGGACATGACAGCCGCAAATGGCTTGCTCCCATCTGTGATGAGTTTGGGACAGCTTGCTTGTATTTCTTCTTTGATGTCTTGCAGTAGTTGTGGAACCTTTTCAATGTCCGTGTAATCAAACCGCAGGATTTGCTTGACCTGTGACTGTTTGGTGCGACTAATGTTGCTGACTCGTTGATTGATGATTTGACTGTTGGGGAGTTTGATGACAATGTTGTCGTATCCGGCAATCTCCGTCTCGACCAATCCAATTTTTCGAATGGTTCCTTCGGTACCATCACCGAGTCGAACATCGTCTCCTTCCTCGGCAAAGTCCCATGCCTGGAGAATCACTCCACCCACAATTTGCTCGGCTAGATCCTTGCTGGCCAAGCTGAAAATGAGTGCACCAATCCCGCTGGCCGCAAAGACCGATTGGAATCCCATACCAATGTCCATTCCAAGTTCATCCAGAATATTCGCCACCGTCACGGTGATAATGACAAAATCAATCAACTGATCGTACAGCTTGACCCGCCCTAGTTTGTTTCCCGCCACTTTTTGAAAAAATAAGGTTCTCTTGACCACACCGAGCGCATAGGCCGCCCAGATGGTCACGGTCAACTTGGGTGTGACGGCCGCCAAATTTTCGGGAATCCACGACAACTGAAACGTCTGACCGAACCATGCCAACAAAATCAAGATTGCATAGACGCGGGCCGCATTGCTAATAGTGTTGGCAGCTCCATAGAGAAAGGTGGTCTCCACGTTGGCGTCTTCGTCCAATTGTGGCTTTGTGTGAAAGATTTTATCCACCAAGGGATCCGTGACAACACCCAACGTCCCTGCAATGGCCAATTCGGTCAATAGTTGCTGATCCGGTATTGGCGCTGCATGGCATGTTGTCATTAGCTTGTCATGATTTCTTGCGGTCTGTTTCCAAATGGAAGATGAAGTCGTTGCTGTTGGTGTTGGAAGGAACGCATTGGTTGGGTGGGGTATAGAGCACAATGCCGTTGCCAATAGCAGCAGATTTGGAAGACAGAGCCAAAGTGTGGTATAAAGCATGGTTTGGAATGCGTGTTATTATCAAACAGTAGCGCTGGGGTGTGGCTTGGCTTGGTTGTAGTATTCGAGCGAGAGGTTGGGTGGAGTGAGTCCAAAATGTAATTGAGGACAAAAGATCCGATTCTCATTCCGGATGACACGAAAGATCCACGACGTGGCAATTCAGACGCCAAATGGTCCACCGCGCGAAGAGTTTTCACATTTAACAATCGGCGAAACCGGACGTTGAGCAAGGTAATTAAGGTCTGACACCAAGCCATCTCACAAACTGAACAAGGTACGGAACTTGCTTGTTACCGGTAGCTAAATACAGCAAGAGCAAGATGACGACAGCGACGGCGTTGAAACAAAGTATCCTAAAGCTAGCAGCATGTTGTTCTTACTAAACCCAAGATCCTTCTACCATTTGGACTACAGGACGGATCCATGAATAATTACTCACACATTTGCGCTTGATCTGCTTTTCAGCAATTCTCAACAGATCCAAAAAGGAATACCAGAACCCCTCCCCTCGTCAATACATTCCCAATGAAGTTGTTTCCAAACTTATCTCTAGTGTTCTTGGTGTCAATCTCAAGCTTCAATTTTGCCAGTTCCGAATTGGACTGCGCTGCCTTGGATGAATTGGAATCATGTTTTCTACCCAGAGATAACTTGACGGTTGCCACCGGACAGTTTATCTGCCGCGAACGGTGGAACGCTGCCTGGGGTGGCGTCTACGAACAGCCCCTCTGTGTTCCATCGGGCACTGGAAGAGACGACGATACCTGCAAGTGCTGTAATGGTGCTTGTCCGGTCCCTTGCTTTGAGTTGTGCTACATCGACCGGGACAGGAACGACCGAGGAGTCTTTGTCTACGATTGGTGGGTGTGGATCCCTCGTCGGCGTTGCGAAACCAAGGGCAAGTCATTGCAACTCAAGCAACAGAACCCAGCACGATGGTCCTGTATTCCTCCCGAGGGACTATTCGTCAACCTATTCAGCTTTAGGAATGACGATCACAGCGTTGCTCGATTCAATTGGTTCGATTGATTAGCCATGCTATCTGATTGATTGATTGATTGATTGATTGATGGTATTCATGGCAAACAATATTTGCTTCAGAGCTGTAAGAGGCGAGGCACGGGATTCTGGTGTAGAAAAGTTCATGGTACATTATCCAGTATGGGAGACAGACTTTAGAAAGCACGAGTTAAGAAATTATAGCTGTACGGTAGCACTGACCGCTTACTTGACTGGTTGCTTGCTTCTTGGGAACTGGCACCGGTACCATGCTAGACAAAGAGCAGCCAAACCTCTGGCATGTGCTTAGTTACTTAGTCGTTGTCACTAGCTAGCTAGCAACAATTACCGCCAACCTCCTTTGTCCCAAACCATAGCAACCGGTAGCCGCCATCCGTGTGTGACCCGTCCCTTCGAAAACTTCTTGCTTGTTGCCGCAAGTGGAATGCAGAATGTCTCCGCTATCTTTACGTTGTCTTCTAAAGATCAGTTGTACATGTACTAGATTATGAATATCTCTGATGATACGACGACACCACACACAAGCAATTCCACGAAACTTTGGTTCAATCCAGGGAAGTCCAGTCTTTTCGATGTGAATCGCTCACTCAATCAGGCCAGGGCACTCACAGTGAACAGCAGGTTTGAAGTTGTTGGCTTTCACCAGATCTTCGTCCAATGTAACGCAATCTTCACCACTATCGTACAATTCATAGAAAATGGAAAGCTCGAAACAAGACAAGTCCTGTCCCAACGGACCCTTCACAAGCTTGGAAGGAGCACCAACTCTGCTGCCCCCAGGGCATAGCTCGCAGTCCGTGTGCTCCATCTTGAGATCATTGCGCAGTATCCGTCTGCGACCGCCAAAATTGGTGTCAACTCCAGAAGGTGGAAGAATCAAGGTTGGTGTTGCAGTTGGTGTGCGAGTCTCAACGGGGGCGGCTGTAGGTGGATCAGTCTCCACTGGGGCGGCTGTAGGTGGATCAGTCTCCACTGGGGCGGCTGTAGGTGCATCCGTTTCCACTGGGGCGGCTGTAGGTGCATCCGTTTCCACTGGGGCGGCTGACGGAGAAGCAGTTGGGGCAATCGTTGTGGGAAATCCAGTGGGTGCCGCCGAAGGGGTGCCTGTCGGAGGGGGTGTTAAACCACAACAACCTGCACTTCCTTCCACATTTTCACATGCTTGTGGGGTTAGTGCATGCATGGCCCAAAAATCCCATTCCGAACAAGTCAAACCGCCAACATTCAGATTGGGATTGGGAGGTGGCGCGCCTCCTGGACAAACCCCTGGGCAGATTTCAGGGTCCGTGGCTCCAGGGCAATCACAGTAGCCATCAATAGCAATTCCATTAATGGTCCCATCCCAGGTACAGGCACCAGGAAGGTTGAGGCGAAGAAGTTCATCTACTCCTTGGCATGTAGTGATTGCTCCAGTTGGTTCTTTCACGATGTTGAGGGGAGAACCAGGCAACTCACAATTCGGGCATAAGCAACACTCCTCACTTCCCGGCGTAGGGCTCCCTGTGGGACTACTTGATGGCTGAGAATCTGAAACACTCGGACTGGATGATGGTGACGATGAGGGACTAGATGATGGGGGCCTCGAAGGCGCCCTTGAAGGCGATCTTGAAGGTGCATTGGTGGGGGACCTTGAAGGCGACGACGAAGGCGAACTCGATGGAGTCGACGAAGGTGATGCTGACGGCTTTGTGTCCGTTGGACTCATGGATGTGGATGGCATACTGGAAGGAACACCGGATTCCGAAGGCATGTCTGTTGGCAATTCAGTGGTAATGTTGGTGGGAAAGAGTGTTCCGTTGGATGGATTCATGGTGTCAGGGAAATCCGTGATCTCGTCCGGGACCATTGTAAGGAGTACCTCGTCCAGGGCTTCCTCTGTATCCACCAGCTGTTCCGGCTGTTTAACCAATCTGTTGAAGTCATGGGCCGTCACTGCTTGAAGCACGGCAAAAGACAAGAAGAGAAATCTCATGGTTTCTTATTTCTATGAAGAGAAAGTAATTTCGGTATGGCTATCGCAAGCTCCTCTGGCTGGAGTTGTGATCCGAGCCGTGATTGCTTATGCAGTGATACCGGTTATTGCAGCCTTCTTTGTCCTTGCTGAGACGGTAGAAGTATTTGGCGGGGGTGCGTGATCGTGTTTTTCGTCAACATCTCGTGGTCTTTGTCGGACAACAACATAATTGCGCGAAGCTCATGCTCTGACTACCGCTTGTACTAACCAATATTCCCTTTGTCACGCCAAAACCGATTGTTTCTTTTGGTCTGTTCGAAGAAACCCCAAAGTTGGTGGTTGCGGGAGTTGATGTGGAGGCTATCCGTTCCCGCGAAGTTCGGTTGCGCTCACGAAACACGGACCAATTTGGTTGGGATCGACAACTATCCAACTCAGCCTGCAACAGAGACATTTCTACCGGTAACTTTGGAAGGCAAGATTGCTTAGATGCAAGAAACCCAAGTTCTAGTCTAGCTAAGGTAGTACGTATTAATAGCTACTGGTCAGTAGCTAGTGTACTATACGGGTACTACGCACCGGCGCCACGAAGACATACATGAAGCACCCTTTATTAATAAGCTGCCTGGCTGGTCCGAGTACGGGAGCCTGTGCGAGATGAGCATTCTTTTCCCGGACGTGGCGAATACAACCAATGCTACAAAACAACATGTTGACTCAAAGACAGCTCAAGAGGAAGGGTATGAGAGCCCAGAAGGGTGCTGTGAAGCCCGTGGAAGCATACAATCCCAACGCAAGCAAACATTGCCGTGAATGGAATTCGAGAACTCAAACGGCTGTACCGCTGCAGCATGATTGCTACTAGCACTTTGGAAGTGATGTGGGACTTGTGCTTCGCATTCCTGTCACTGGTTAGGAGGAGGAGTAACTGTGCCCTGAGCATCCATTCCCTTCATGGGGGTACTGCTGACATCTCATTTGTCAGTGAGTTTGGCTGGTATGATTGGTGCTGGTACCTGGGGCCTGAAGACAGCAACTATGACTGGAAACAGTTAGCTAGGTCGATATTGTGTTCAAAGCTTTGATGCTGGTGATGCTATGTGCAGCTACATCCTGAGGGCCAAAGGTATCCTAGTACGGTAGTAAGCCGATCGTCTGTGTTTCCACTGTCTGAAGTTCAGAGAGGTAGAAGCATGTGTCCCCACTCCCAAAAGCACATTGGATTCCTCGAAGCAATTAACAACCAAAAGATGGTCGATGTCGTGGGTGTCCTCGAAGGACGGGAAAGATGCACACCCCATCGAACTTGCTGAGTATTCACAGAATGCCGGCTTGCTAGCTTTTGCCTAGCAAGAACCAATGCTACACAAACAGCATCAAAATCTTAAGGACAGCCAGCCGGAGGCTAGTGCCCTCAACTTGCATTTTTCTAAAAGCCAAGGAACGGAAGGGTTCTGGTTCGACCGCTACCGGTAGCCTTAACCTTGCAAGGGAAACAGCACCATATGTATGCGACACTACCGGTAGCCTTAACCTTGCAAGGGAAACAGCACCATATGCACGCGACACACACACAACACTCACGTCACACACCTACACACACCTACACACACACACACACACACACGCACAAGAGGACAGCCAGCCGGAGGCTAGCTAGTGCCCTCAACTTGCATTTTTCTAAAGGCCAAGGAAGTGTTCGCTAGCCTTAACCTTGCAAGGTAAACGCACCTTATGTATCTGTTTGATCGCTAGCCTTAACCTTGCAAGGGAATCGCACCATAAGTATCTGTTTTGATCACTAGCCTTAACCTTGCAAAGAAACCTCACCATATGTATCTGGTTTGCTCGCTACCTTAACCTTGAAAGGGAAATGGACCATATGTACGCACACACACACACACACACACACACCTACACACACACACACACACACAACACACACACATCCAGCCCATCGAGGTATTGGATTTACGTTTAGTTTAGCTTGGTTTCGTCTATACCGTACCAGCTCCTAAGATAATACGTATCTTCGCTCCGAGGCACGGATTCCGAGCGATTTTTCGAACATACCAAACAACAACCAACAACCAACAACCAACCAACCACAACAACAACCAACCAACCAACAACCAACCAACCAACCAACCACCAACCAAACCAACCAAACCAACCAACCAACCAACCAACAAGCACCATACTATTACATAATAGTAACCATGCCTGAGGCAATGATTGAGAGAGTTCCCATCCTTCGTAATGGTGGCAGAGGCCGCGGCCGCCGCAACTCCAATGGCGGCAACACCAGCGCCAACAGGAATAACAACCAGCGCGAAGATGATGGCTCCCCCAGCAGGAAACGAACTGCCTTTGATCCATCCGCGATCAATCCTCAGACATACCAACCCGATGCAACACAAAAGGAATCACGGTGGCCCCACTGCAAGCCGCCCGAATTTCCTACATGGCACCACTCGACGCTCCATGAGGCATACCACCGTACCGTCAACAAAGTAGGAGAGGAATTCATCAAAGCCTTGCGGCACACCAGCGCAACAAGGACACTCTCGACGGTATGATTAATGGCAACAACCAAACCGGGAATTGACCCCGTCCCGATTCCGAAATCAGTCGATATCAAATTCGAACTGAAGGCTGGCAACCCAGCAATGGAGAGCGATGCGAGCTTCAAGCTCTCCAACAAGAATCCACACAAGCTGTTGAACTCTACAAACAAACCCAAGCAAAAATTCTCATTCGAAAGAAACAACTGGACCTCCAATATGCTCAAAAGGCCGTAGCCGAGTCCCTGGCTAGAGGCCTTCTGCCCATCGCCAATGGCCACAAGGTCATCTGCGGCAGAGAGAATCTCAATGGCCATGCAATCGTCAACACCATCCTGGAGGCACACCACGAGGTGTTGCTGCAACACACTGGCATTGACCTAGCAGCATTTAGAACAATATACATTAACGTCCAAGGTCTCGCAACCCTGCCTATCCATTACCTGTAATTGATATTCAGCAACAGCCTCAGCCACCTGTGGCACCTGCTCAGCCAACAACACATGCGCCTGTCCAGCCAGCAGAACCGCCGGCTCCCCACCTGCAGGGGCCCTATTCCATCGACCAACTGACTGCTGTCTCCAGCCACAGCGACCTCGAGGCCACCCAGGAGCACATCCAGCGATGCCTAGCACGAGGCGCTAGTGCCGAGTCCTTCGAGGACTACAACGAAGCCAAAGAGAGAGCACAGTCTCAGCTGGAACAAGACCATGACGCAGCAACTACCTACAAACTAGCAATGGAAACATATCAACAGGCACTGGCACAGTACCAAACCCAATGGAATCAATATCAGCAGGAGCTCCAGCAATACCAGCAGGCCCTCCAGCAACACCAGCAGGCACTGCAGCAGTTCCAGCAGCAGATAAACAACAATATCAGCAACAAGCCCAACAGCCCTCCATCCCGAGTTGGCCAAGCTGGAGAGACTCATCACTAGTGTCTTCTGCACACCCATTGACCAGTACCAGCACCAATCCTCAAACAATGTCAAGTCCCTTGCTCTCAAGAAGCTACACAAAGAGGCATTCACAACCAAGGCCACAGAGGACACTGCAATGGAGATTGACAGTGAACCTGCCTCTGACTCCCAACAGATCAAGGATCTGGTCAAGAAAATGGTACAGGAGGAACTGAAACAGACCCAAAGCAAATTGCCAGAGCCACTGGCAAACATGTCACCGAAGCGCTCAACAACAGCGCAACAACAATCAAAACAACAACAGCTCAAAAAACAACAGGAGGGGCCCAGCCCAGGGAGGCGCCTCCAGCAACAAAAAGAAATCTCCCAGCCAACAACAGCCCGCCAGAGCGGCAGAACCCAACGAGGAAGGTCCCAGTCCGCCCCAAGAGGCAACCGCCCAAGAAGCCAAAGCAGGGCCGCCAAGGCGCCGCGGCGGCAGGGCAGGACGAGAAGGGGAGGAAGACCGGAGGAAGAGGCAACGTACCTCCAGAGGCTCCACAGATCGACCAGAGGCCGCTCCAGAACTCCTCTCCCAGCAAGAGGCAGAACTCCAACACCAGGAGAAGCAGGTCTCCAGGCGATCGACAAGGAGATAGAGCTCACATATGGCTTCATCTCAGACCCCGACCTCCATCTACACGACAATGTACAAATAGACTCCTTCATATGCCGGCCTGGTACTACTTTGCCAGGCCAACCAATCTTGCATACCACGACCTTACCACGACAATTAAGCCCCCACCAGGCCTCTACTCACTGTTGGGCCTGGGCCACAAGTTCATTCCTACACCTAGATACTCCCACACTTGGAATGACATCGAATAAACACCCTCACCAGGTTCTCCAGGGACCTGAGGGTGAAAGCCTTCTGTATTGGCCACATGCAGGAGGACAACACAGACAATAACAATAGCAGTGATGAATACAATCCACGAATGCATCTGCAGTCTGACTGGCTCCCACCAGCCCATATGGTGCCGACTCCAGTCATAGACCAGCGCCTTCAGCGCTTCAGCAGCTTCCTCCAGAGCAAATTCAGCCGAAGAAGAGAGGCAGAGCCAAACCTTCTGCCCCACCAGCGGCGTGCCCTCTGCCAACTCAGACGCAACAATGCCCTTATGTCGTCCAATGTGACAAGAACCTGGGCCCAGCGACAATTGAACGGCATGCCTACATTGAACATGCATTCCGCGACCACCTTGATGATGAAGCCACCTATGAATTCATCCCACCCCACAAGGTTGAGCACTACAAAGACAAAGTGAAACAGCGTCTCCTGAAGTGGCTCAAGAACTATGGCAGCACTGCCTGCACTGACAAGGAGAGAAAATTCCTCAAAGCTATGATGAAGAAGAATGAGGAACCATTTGCTTATTTCTACTTGACAATGAAAGTCCACAAAACACCCCTCAAAACCAGCCCATTGTCTCCTACAGTGGCAGCCTGCTGGAGGGGCTGGGCATCTGGCTTGACTCCAAGCTTCAGCCAGTTGCTCAGTCAATGAGATCCTACCTGAAAAGCTCCTTCGATCTCAAACAGGAGCTCATGTCCCTGCAGCTACCACCCACTGCAAACTCTTCACAGCTGATGCTTCCTCAATGTACACCAACATTCCCACGAGGAACAGCCATCACCAAGATCTCAAAGTGGCTCAAAGACAACCAAGAACAGTTCCCAGACCTGCCCACCAAGGCAGTCCCAAGGCACTGATTCTCATTATGGAGTGGAGCTTCTTCCACTTTGGTGACACCACATGCGGCAACTCAAGGGCACTGCAATGGGAGCCCCACCAGCCCCACCCTATGCCACCATCTACTTTGCCATCCTGGAGTCCATTCTGCTTCGATCCTTCATGGATAGTCTTGCAGTTCTGCAGCTCTACAGGAGATACATCGATGATGTCTTCGGCATATGGCACTGCCGAATGGAAGACAACCAGCTCCTGTGGGAGGGCTTCCAAAAGGCAATGAACAACAATGAGTACAAGCTGCACTGGGAGTTCACTGAACTCTCCAGTCAGGTGGATTTCATGGACATGACAATCACCCTCACACATGACAACAAACTGGTCACCACACTGTATGAGAAACCAACCAACTTGTATCTCTATATCCCATCCCACTCCTGTCACCCACCAGGCCTCCTGTCTGGAGTGGTGTATGAACCTCTTTAGGATCTATACACTCTGCTCTGAGGAGACTGACAGGCTCACCAGGACCAAGCTCTTTTCAAGAGGCTCCTGGCCAGGGGCTACCAAGCCACCACACTTCGGCCCCTTTTTGAAGCAGCAATCACCAGGGCAAGGGCCTACACTGGCCCCCAGCCCAACAACAACAAGAGGGACCCATGGGAATCCAGCTGCTGCACCTGGAATACCACCCCAAGGATCCCCCATCAAAGGTCTTCCAGCAAGGCTGGAGGGATTGCATTGCCAATCCCACGAACCTGATGCCCTTCAAGCATGTCCGGATCCCACACACAGTGGGCCCCATGCGAGGCAACATGCCAATGGGACTGGATAGGATGATTGTAGCCTACTCCAGGCCCCCCAACCTTGGTAACCTGCTGTCCTACAGGAAGGTTCCAGAATTAGATGGCTCCCCCGTCTCATCCTTTCTGGATTAGAGGCTTGTCGGGGAGCCATGGCACCCACACCCACACACCTACACACACACACACACACACACACACATCCAGCCCATCGAGGTATTGGATTTACGGTTTTAGTTTAGCTTGGTTTCGGTCTATACCGTACCAGCTCCTATGTGTCTATTTTCGAAATCACCACAAACAGGGTACCCTTGCTTTTCTCACAGCCTACCCGGCTTGTATCTTTTGCCATCCCCAGCTTGCTCCACTGATGAAGCAAACAGCGAAATTCTTAAGCTCAGAATTTGGAAATCAGCAAGCAACGGTATACCCCATGGATAAACATCCAATGGTAGATTCGTCGTAGATTAATTCTTAGTAGTGTCTACACACATCTCACACAACATCACACATCTCACACAGCACTCAACGTACACACACCTACACACACACACAAGATAAAGTTCAAAAGGCCCTCAGCTTGCTAGCTGGTAGTTGAGGGCAATAAAGTTCAAAAGGCCCTCAGCTTGCTAGCTGGTAGTTGAGGGCAATTTTTCTTTTGCCTGTGTCGCATCAGCGATAAGCCCATCATTGGAAAGAAAAGAACTTTTAAGAAAGAAGAAAGAAAGGATTGAAGTGTGCCAAAAGCACAATAATCTACCTACTCAAAAAAGCTAGCTAGTCTAGACCCCTGTTTTCAATGCAATAAAGCAAGTAAACACTCCTTCACCACCTCGGTGGCCTTATTAGTATGATAGCTCTACCGGATTAGTTTGCACAAAAAGACTTTTTCGTGCGTAAGGCTGATGCCAGAACTGCACTTAGGCACTGGTCGTTGCCAGCCACCAGCTCCGTACGGTACAACTGCTAATAGCGACCGCGAGCTGCTGTGGCTGTCACTTGTATAACACCTATCACCTCTCATGCCGCTTCCTCCAAAATAGCTACCAAACCTTTTTGGAGACCCGCCTTTATTGGATAGGCGTCACATAGTAGTACCTGGTACCGCTACCGCTATCCTCGGCGTAGAGACCTTGGAAGAGCACAAGATTTCTGCGGCTCCCCCAGAAGAAACCGTAGAGAGCATGAAGAACGCATCTCAGGAGAACGCAATGGCTGATACTATAACAGACCTCCTGCCGCACGATGTCCTTCTAGGACGAGGCCTTGGATCAAGTCAGTATCAGGGTAACAAGGCATTTCTGGAGGTTGTCGAGCAATACAAAGCATCCTACAACCAGACTTTATCCTATAAAGAGAAAAAATCGATCGCAAAGGAAGTATTTGGAATTATTCAATCTCGTGGTGGAAGGTTTCTCAAGCTCTTGAATTACCAGAAGGGAGCACGAAATGTCGTGCAAGAGGGTGCCTGGTGCCTAGCAAATGTAGATGAAGCATTGGAGAAGTGCAAGCAAGCGCTTCGACAGCAAAGAGACAAACCTACGCAAAAACTGTCTTCATCGTCTCGAACTGCTAGCTCTGGATCTTCGGATGGAACACAAAGAGAGCAAAAAGAAGAACAATCCAGTGCCGTGGCCCAGTCAGAAGGGTGTAAAGTTTCTGGCCATGGCTTTAAACCAGAGGAAGGATCTGCTTCTGTGGTGGTCAATGAATCCGCTACTACTCAAGGGGATGATCAAGTACCGAACTTTGCGCTTGTAGGTGATGCACAGGGCGTATCCCTTCAACAGGCTAGTGGATCTTGTTTTACAGTTTCTCCCTTTTCGGACATGCCAAACTCGTTGTTGGTGGAGGATGTGCCACCAGATGAACGCTCATCTCCCCCTTCCGAGCCCGAAGACATCGACACAACTCTAGCAAAACTTGTCGTGGATGGTCTTCCCACCTTCACAAAGGATCAAGAATTGAAGGAAAGGGCCAGCCTCACAGATGTTGAAAAGGATGAAGCCATGTCAGATGTCTTTGGCAAGCTACATGTATCGGAGCCCGGTAAACGAGCAAAGAGGGATTTTGACAATGAATCAAAACATGCGCTGCTTCGGGAGATGAGACAAGAACTGGAACAGATACCAAAGGTTCGAAAGCAGGCATTGGAAAGGGCACAAGGATCTTGCGATTCCTCCGAGTTCAGCGATGAGCGTCTCTCCCGCTTCTTGCGAGTGGAAGGCTACAATCCCACACTTGCTGCACAACGCTTTGTGAGGTATTGGGAGGGTCGACTTGAAGTTTTTGGGCCAGACAAGTTCCTCATGCCCATGACCTTGGCGGGGGCGTTTCAAGAGGACCACAATGCCATTGAAGATTGTGTGCAGTGCATCCTTCCATATCCGGACTCCTTTGGAAGGCCAATTGTGTTTGCGGATCCCACGCGACGCCGACCAGATCGCTATTCATCCCAGAGTGGGGTACGTACATGTAGTTCGCAGCCCCTCACTACTGCTTTGCTGTTGTGTCAAACAAATAGATGAAACGCTGACATTGTGTCCATTCCACCAGCTCCGTGCACTGTGGTACGGGATGGAAGTACTTTCCCGTGATCATGACAGCGCAACGTTTGTTGTCCTGTGTTGGGTGAAACACGCCACCATTTGGGACTTTGACCGCTATGTGTACTGCCGTTTTCCGTACTACCAGAATGACTTCTTTCCATTTCGGCGGGCGGCTTCACATGACTGTTGTGCCGATAAATTAGGAGTGACCCTGTTCAGGCCGGTTGATATGATAGTCCATGACAAGGCATCGAGAATGCGAAGGATGCATCACTGCGTACCAGAGAGCGAAATCGTCGCAGTCCTAAAAGCGTATGGAATTGAGCGCTGGATGTTACCCCTTGAGATGGGAGGAACGCTTGAGGACGTTCAAAGGAAATGGGTGGCCCAGAGGAGGGCTCTGGAGCACTCAGCGAAGCCTATCTAGTCAACGCAACCGGTAACACATCACCTTATTGAGTGATAGTATCACACTACTACTACTAGAGTATTGGACTACCAACTACATGTTATGTTTTATGTGATATGCCTGCGGGATCATATAGATCTAATAGATCCTTGATATGCGGGAATATTTGCAAAGAGAGTTCGTCCTCGTAGATATATCCGGGAATATTTCGTTGGGGTTCTCGTGGTTGTGTCACACTACCATAGTTTATAGAGCTACTGCAGTTCATGAATGGAAACAAGACACTGACAGGCTACAGCTTGGTCTCCTACCTACGATAGCTACGGTAGGAGGGGTTGGTAACATCACTGTGCGTAGCCAGAGCGAGGAACGCCACGGTCAGAAGTAAACTGTGAACTCGGATGAAAAATCCAACGATTCCTGGTGAGCGTGACTGTACAACTATCGAGCTACTGTGCGTATCTGCTGGGTGCCCCCACTAGCTAGGTAGCAAGCAATTGTACATACTTGCTGTCTACAGTGGCAAAGTCAGCTGATCATGGGTACTGGTACCGAATACCCTTCGCAGGAGCTGAGCTTGGAGGCCGTCTTCACGTCTTTGAAAGATGGGGTCCCAAGGAGCAACTGTTACTGACAGCTCTACCGGTTTAAAGCTACGGTACCGTATCTTTTCGATATCTTTGAGCTCTCCACCCTTGGTGGCGCCATACCCACGATGACGAAGGACAGTGGACCGCCAATTGAGAGTATCATCTGTGCTGATCTGCTGCTACTAGGACGACAACAACGACAACATCAAAGACATCCTGAAAAGAGGAAGCAAAGCAACAGGCTTCAACAATCTCGTATCCTTTTCATTCTCTTTCTGCTACCTACCATTTTTTGCTTGCGTCTTTCACGGCAGGGGCATTCTTTGTGTGTGGCTGCACTCTCCCCGCCAAGGCATTTTCAGTGGAGCTTGCCAAGACCAAGTACGAAACGAATGAGCGCCATGACCAACAAGGGCGATGCAACAGCCATTGGCAGTTTTGAAAATTTCCTTGCCAAAACACGGGCGATTGAAAGTCCCAATCACGTCGTGGTGGGAAATGCCGCGGGAGATGCGGATAGCATTATCAGTGCCTTGACATTGGCCTACATTGATTCTGATGCATTACAAAAAAGAATGATATCGCCCGTGGTGTCAATCACCCAACAGGACTTGGAAACCCAACGACCCGAGGTTTCCTTTCTCTTTCGTACAGTCGGCTTGGAGCAGTCCGTGGTGGACACTATGCGATTCATTGACGACCCCGTCATCACAACGGGCAACAACCACAAAAAGAAGAAATTGACTTTGGTGGACCACAATCGCGCCGAAGTCATCTTTTCTCCCGATTGTTGGGATGTGGTAGAAATCTTGGATCATCATTTTGATGAGAACCAACACACGGAAACCTGCTCGGGCGACCAACGAAACATTGCCTTTGCCAACGATAAGGCTACAGTAGCCAGTACGTGCACATTGATTGCCGAGAGACTACTGCAACAACAAAAGCAAAACAGCAACAACAACAAGTATCATCCCACAGTGGCCACGTTGCTATTGGGGACCATCCTCTTGGATTCCGTCAACATGATTCCGGCGGCGGGCAAGGGTACTCCTCGTGATGCCACCGCCATTCAAAACTTGCTCGAGAATACGGATTGGTCCTTGTCGACATCGGCGGCCAAGGCTGCCTGGAGCAACAATAATGACAATGATGGAAGACCGGATACGACCCAACTGTTTGAATCTCTCCAAGCGGCCAAATTTGATCCAGCCTTTTGGAATGGTCTCTCGGTACCGGATGCCTTGAGATTGGACTACAAACGGTTTTCTACCTCCAAAAATGGAACCGTCTTTGGAGCTTCCGCGGTCTTGTTACCTATGGCTGATTTTATCAAAAAGCCACAATTCCAAAAGGGAATTCGAGAGTACATGACACAAACGGCAAACGTCGAACTACTGGCCATTTTGTTCTTTTTCACCGACGATGGAGGTGAGAATCGCCGTCAGCTGTGTGTCTGTGGGAGCAATGAGAAGGTCGTGGACGAAATGATATCTCATCTCCAGGAGGATGGAACGTTGGATCTACAAGAGATTGTGGAAAACGACAATGTTTGTTGGTCGTCAAACAACAATGGCGATGATGATGATGTTTCCCTTGTGATGCGAATGTTTGACCAACGCAACGCCAAAGCCAGTCGGAAGCAAGTTGCGCCATTGATGATCAAGTTCTTTGAGAGTCGTTGATTGACTGACGGTTGGGTTTGAGAATCGAATCAGACTTTAGAAGTCTTCAGCTCATAGATGGATGGCACAACGCCCTCCCAAAAGAGAGTATCATGTGTCGTCGTGGATGAATGACCAGCTTGGCTTGAGCTTCTCGACTTACAAATAGTTCGGTACGATACCCAAACTTCCGTTCAGCGAACTATCGGTACTGGCTTTGTATCTATCGTCACCAGCCGATGAGTTTTTCCAGACGAGTACAACTCTATCTAGCTAACTAGTACTTTCGGGAAGTCAAGTAACGGTGCTGTTGTCTTTCGACCCATCCGTGTGTGCCATTTTAAAAAACAAAAAAAACAAATGAGTCGAGTCATCTAGCTAGCTAGCTAGATGCGGGAGTTGAGGGCATGTTCTTGCTTCTGGGATTGTCAAAGAGCCAGTGACACCTTCCCACGAAAACCCGAAATCGGGCAAATCTTTTCAGTCATCAGATTTGGATATGCCAAAAACATTGATCCACTGCTGGTACATGTAACAGCAGAGGGAGGACCATGGCGTTCTTCGTATCTCGCGCTGCTCTCGTTGCTGTTGTTCTCATCAGCCAGTCTTGCTCTATTCATGCGTGGAGGTCTGGTTTGGCGCCTGGAGTTTCGCCAATGTCGAAAGGGAGCATCCGTCGACGCATTTCCGGTGCAGGATCGCATGTGAAGGTACTTGCATCGCTCACGCAGCGAGACAGCTTCCCTAGTGATTTGTTGCTGTTGGAGACACCAAATGGCGACTTTTGGACCCCCTCGGTTCAGGCAACACATTTGATGCAGCAGGAGAATACTGCCTTGCACAGCCCTAAACAAACGAGGAAGGATGAGAAGAAAAGCAAGTTCACCTGGGAACAAAAGTTCGCTCTTCTGCGTCAGTACAAGAAAGAACACGGCAATTGCAACCCACCCGCGAACTACGTGGTCAACGGTGTCAAGTTGGTGAGTACGGCGTTTCCTCATACCGTACCGGTAGTGTTTGATCCTTACTGAATGGCTTTAACTACTCACGGTCTTTCTGGTTGTTTGGCTGAGCAGGGAGGATGGGTGGCAACCCAACGTAAAGAGTACTGGAAGCATCAGGCTGGATTGTTCTCCATGATCATCAACCAGAGACGCATTCACAGACTTGAGAGGGTGGGTTTTCAGTGGGAACCGGACCTTGAAGTCGTTGGTGCAGACTGTGTTGCGAAGGCTTGCAAAGCCCTTGGCGCCGCGGCCTTTGCCAGTACCGGACTCATTCCTGCATTTGCCCATTAGAGCCGATCATACTCACTTTCGGACTACCGCAATCCCAGCCAACGGTCTAAACTAGCTTCTTGGAAACTTTGCTCATTGATTGATCCGCACGTCATGTTGTTGTCACTGTATCAGCCATCCTGTTTTGGATCAACGTCGTCGTCGGCGCCATAGTGTTGTTGCCTTTTTCTGGCATACGCCAGAGCATCATTATTGAGTTTCACAGCACGAATGATTGCATCTGGAACGGACTGGGGAAATCCCAGCTCGAACAAGAGCCAACCGCATGCTTCGGCGGTACTAATGCGAGTTGCAAACTGTTTCTTATTGGTGCTGTCGTCGTTTTGTTGTTCGTTGTTGCTGTCGGACTTTTGTCGCTGTTTGTGGGCTTGGCCATAGTTTTTCTGGGCCCGATGAAAGACCGAGGACGTGAGTGGATTCACAGCTACGGTTGGAATGATAGTCTCTCGCCCCTCTCTTTTTGTGTTTTCCAAGCGTTTGCTTAGAGCTTTGTACATGTTGCGAGCTTGACTATAGGTAGCATCCAAAACCACAACTCGAATCGTTGCTGTGGTGTCCTCCTGATGACTTTTGGATTGCCCACCAATATCTTGTCTTGCCAGAAACTCTGGAACGGAAAGAGCATCGGCACCTGGCCACAATATCATGGTCCTTGTACTCCACTGGGTGATTTCTTCCACAAGACGATCGAATTCTCCCGTTTTTCCGTAGAGGTAGAGTTCGGTCATCTCCGGGAACAAGTGCAAGAGAATCTTGGCGCTGTTTCCAGCACAAAAGTACTCTTTGTGATGCATCAAGAGACACAACTTGATCTTGCACTGGTGTTGTTGCAAATAATCAGGTTTGGACAACCGAGCACACATACAATAGCGTTCGTCGTGCCAACAGTGAGCACATCGATTGTTGCGCGTTTTAAACGAGGCAATCTTGTGATTGAGGCTGAGAGTGGCCATGGCCTCCCAAAGTTCCAATCCTTGCAATCCTTGTTCTTGCACAAGTTTGGTCTTGTGGGCCCGTAGCTTGACCAGCCACTCTCCTTGACGTTCCCACTGGACGGCGTGATTGTTACTGTTAGTATCGAGCTCGTGGTGGTCCTGCTTGCTATTATTATTGGGACAAGCCATTCCCTCACTTGGCTCCGAGGCGGATGCCAACGATGGCGAGTCCGTCATTGTGTGTGTGCTGATGTAAGGCAAATTGGCGGCATTGACCTTGCTCTTTGCTTATTGTAGCCGCTGTGCCCCGAGAGCTCGATCATCAACAGGCAGCAACAAACTCTGAGAAGCCGAGAACAGCAACACAGGTTTTCATCCTCAAGACAAATTTAATCTCTGATCATCATAAGACGTCAGGAACGACCATACCACGATGACAGCACCGCTTCCCGTCTGCTCAGCGAAGTTAAGCATCGTCGGGCCAGGTTAGTACTACGGTGGGGGACCACGTTGGAATCCCTGGTGTTGTTCTTTTATTGCCGTATCTGTCGTCCAAGTGGTTGCTATGCTTCTTGTTGACGCTGTGTCGTTGGTTCACAGTGCGTTCCTTGACCACACTCCGGGAAGAAATAATGATGAGTGGAAGAGACCAAAATATCAGGTTATGAGCCACCTTTCGCCAAGTACTCTTTTTTTTGAAATCTTTCTTTTTATACACGTCTCGTCAGACTTGGTCTTGTGCTGCTGTATTGCACGGTCCCGTACCGGTATGGTCACACCTCACTCACAGTTAAGATAAGTGGGTTTTTAAAAGTACCGCGTACTCAACTTTGCAGAATTCCCAAACCAGTAAGATAAGCTATTAATAGGAGTACTGAAGTCTCAAATCCTAAGCTAAAACTAATACCAGTACTATGTCGGGACTGAATGCAGCTAGTACCCACTATCATCCACATCACCACATCCAAGTACTCCCGTGCCTGCATCTTGGGGTGCTTCTCTGCCACAACATCTTTGGTTTCATCAATTTACATTTGCCTTCTTGGGCTTTGGTGGTGGCTCCTCACTGCCTGAAGGCATGGTTAGTACATGTAGTAGGGTATGTGACAGTAGCTGCTAGTGGCAATAAGATATGAAAGATACTGAGATTGGGCTGCTTGTAAGATAATAATCAGTGTGGCTGTGGCTGAATCCTAAAAAGATACTCGTACCTCCACTGGTGGAATAGGCATAGAATTATCGTATTAGTAAGGTAGGAGTGCACCTTACCAGGCACAATTGCAAGAGTGACTCGACTCGACTCAGTCACTGTAAGCTTGCTAGCTAGAAACTCTCCACGTCAGTTTTGAAGGAGTGAGGGCGTCTTCATCATTTATTACTGTGGCTTACGTCAGTCTACCGCAACACGGGCACCTGTACTGTGGCAGCTACTGTGGCCAACTTCGCTTCTAAAGTTCGTTCACACTTCACACATCATCACAAATTACTTGAACGAATAGCAATACATCAACACAAAGACTTTGCACCAATACGTTAGCTAGCAATCTTCCAATCCTCTCACCCAACATGAAGTTCACCGTGTCAGCTCTCGTGGCTCTCTCCGTCGCCTCGGTGAATGGTTTTGTCTCGCCCCAACAACCTGCGTCCTTCGATCGTACTCTCTCGGTGGTCCGCGCTTCCAAGGACGTCCCATCCATGGCACAGACGTAAGTCACCCTCTATTGCCTTGCCTCGCCTCGACTTGAACAATGTGGCTCTATCTCTGATCGCTCTCCAATTGCCGTGGATTTATTTTTCTGCTTCAGCCACTTTCAAGGTCCTCTCACAGTCATGGGATCAGGCAAACCCCTGACAAAGGAGGACCTGGATCAAGTCAAAGAAGAGTTGGAACAGATCAAGGAACAATATGGATGGAAGGAACCAGATCGAGCCTTTATGGATGACCCTGACATCGATTGGAGATTTGGTGGTACACCCGACTATTCGCTTGTCAATCTCCAGTACTTGAAAGGACGAAGCAAGATCCATCCCGAGGGATCCCTGGAGTTGGTGGTCGAGAATCTGGTCAAGACGTGGGAAATGGAACGATCACACAAAGTTGACCCCGGCAGTCATCAATCTGTCGATACCGAAAACTTTCGAATCAGTGCCAATGGCGGCAAAGTTTTTGACAATGAAGAGGCCAACGCGGTGGGAAACTACAATGTTCTGTTGAATGCTTGTCCAGCTGACTTGTGGGATTCTGAGAACATCACTTGGGAAAACTCCCATGACACCTTTCACAATGCGTTTGCAGCGTTTCCATGGGAAGTCCTGGACGTGTTCTCCGGTCCCCCCAAGGTTGCCTTTACTTGGCGCCATTGGGGCCAATTCACCGGCACCTACGAGGACAACGAAGGAAAAGGAGAGTTGGTGGAAATGTTTGGTTTCGGAACCGCTGTGGTCAATGACAAGCTACAGTTGCAAGATGTTGAGATTTACTACAATGCTGAAGATTTTATCAATGTTCTGAGGGGGGAGACTAAGGTTGAAAACACAAATGCAAACTGGAAATCCACGGGTGGATGTCCCTTCCAAGCGGCCAGTGCTATCTTGACCAAATCTTTGCCCATTTGAGTGCAGCGAGAGTAACGCTTTTCACACAGGCCTCATGAAAACTTTGATCTCGAGCGGAGAGTAGTCTTGTTGCCCCGCGAAACCGCAGCATCTTCGTTTGGCTTCTATCTGATAGCTGGCGATGAGCATAGAGGCGACAACGCTGTTTTGTGCAGTTCTAGCCATTCGATAGCCCTACAACTGCAATCTAGCTCGTACTTAGCTGTACCTGTACCTCAGGGTACTGTACGGGTACGTAGAGGACGCCCCAGTAGAGAGCAACCTAGGAATCGCAGATAGGCAAACTCCGCAGAAAGTCGCCACAACTGATTGTGCACGTACTAAACAACGCCAACAGTGTCATGACCTTGGCGGGATGTGGGCATTATCGGCAGTTGCACTGCAACTGCAAGTTGGCAACGGGCACCTCGGCGGAAAAGCTCATTCTTGGGTTGCCCAGAAGTCTTACCAATGTGTGCTTGGCTAGCTAGCTAGCTAGCTAGCTAGTGAGCATGCCTTGTGGGGAGTATTTTAGCTGCTACTCCTTATGGTGCCAGGAAGGCAATGTGAGAAACCAATCAAACAACTTCAGTACGGTATGTTTGTTTGGGCTCACATGTTGCATTGTTGCATTGTTGCTTGCATTGCAGCCAACACAGACCTAATTCCTGCCAAGTCTGAAAAACTTTGTCCACAACTAGGAAGGACCGCCTCCAAACAAGATGGACTGCCTCCTAGGTATGCTTGAGGCGAATTCAGAACACTAGGGTACTGACGCATTGATGCCAAAGAAAGAATCTGACATGGTGACATAGAAGCGAACCAAGCTTCTTGCTTGGCTCCTGGTTCTGTGCTTTCCAACTAATGCCTGGCTGCTAGGTCGCTCTGTGTCTATTGCCTGGCTCACAACCTCTTGATGCTGCTAACCTCATTTTGAATGCTGCACAGGTTTCCTCCACTCGAACCAGGCTTGAAAGCACAAAAAGATCGTCTCTGGCATGCTGCTTGCATCATGCAAGTTCGAAGTTCCGCTTTCTGGATGCTGAGCGTAAAAAGTTTCTTGAGGCGATCGTGCGAACTGCAACCTGCAGGCACCAAAGCCGTTCGTCCGCTCTAGACACTCCATGCACACGCGTTCCATTCAGCACGAACGCAACGATGAAATGATGCAAATGAGTTTCGAGTATTGTAGTATTGGGAGCGAGCACGACTAAAAGCAGGTTTGATAGGAAATATTATGATCTACGATTCTCATCACTCCCACCTCCCAGCAGGTACGCTGAAAAGAAGGTTTCTGGCTACAAAGAGCAAAGATGACATACCGATCTCTACACGTAGTAGATTTCTCTGGCATCATTGTGGATTGCGGTTTGTTGATGACGATCTCCCCCAGCAACAGAAATCCAGAAGATCGAGTCGATCGAGAAAGAACTTCGTGCCAGTACGTGTAAAACTACACGTACTAGCTAGCTAGCGCTACAAGTAAATAATGTGGGAGCTCACGGACTTCTGTTGATCCGGCCATAAAACCACTTTAGGTGAGGAAGCAAAGGGACATAACGTACATGATGGCATGGCAACGATCAGCCTTCCTTGCTTGTTCGTGAACACCAAACCACAACAAAAATGTCATGACAACCTAGCTACAAAATGGTATGAAGATGACAGGCCAGTCTACACGGAGAATTATTGAACTCTGTCCAGCCTACACCCTCATTCATCATGTTCCACTAGCCAGCTGCTTGCCAGATCTTGGACTTCCATCCAGAGAATGAGACAGCACGAGAGCATGGAGACAATGTACAAAAGATTAATACGTTGCCAGAGATAAGTACAACTACCGTAGCTACTCCTAGCCAGCAAGCCCTAACGAGAAGCTAGTGCAGCATTAGCAGCTCATTAGCAAAGTCATGATGTTCTTTCCGAGTTGCGCCAGAGCTGTTGCCAGCCAAGAGAATCATCGAATGATCATCATCTGATGTGCACCGCAGAAGTCGCGTGTTCAGCTGTATCAAGATCGGATCTGCCTGGAATTGAAGGTGAGAAGCGGTACCACTTCCAGGTCGTACTTGTACAGCAACTAGTACTTAAAAAGCTATAGTACTTCTAATGCTTCTTTGTCGAATGCTGGAATTGAGAATGTTTCCGTAGGGATTCCATTCTGAGGTGTTGGGGCATTTCTAAAGAGGCCCTTTGGTTAATTAGAATCGTTTTTGGAGTACCGTAATCAAACTGATGCGTCACTCTGGGGTTCAAGTGACTTACTTTGATGGTCACTGGTTTGATGTGGCTTAAATTGAACGTCAGAATGTTGCGTTCGGCGGGACAGTGGCGAATCTTCTCGTACCACTGTGGCCTCTGCAGCATCAGTAACGGTAGCTCCCATACATGCATGTTGTGATGGATGGATCCGTCATGATGGATGCATGCCACTGTCCATCATATAATAATATGTACTGAGTAGTGGGTTGCTAGGTCTTTTTTTCAGAAGGACAAAACCGTCTTTCATACCCGTACTGATGGACACCTCTTCACACAGTAGTCGAGTACAATGATGTACCACACTAACTACTCTTTGAACTCTCAGCGGTCACACTCACTGGTGGCCAAACTGGCAAACTGGTTTGCTCCTACCATCGCCAAAGCTCGCCGCATTCGACTGATGCTAGCTTGGTTGCTTCCCCAAGCAGTTTCTGTTCCCAGACACAACACAACGAGATCCGCCAGCTGCAGAGGTAAAACACTCGCCACTGCACAAAACGGCCAAGGTAGAAACAAAACCAGTATCCACATCCCACCAATACCAAACCAGTACCTCATGATGAAGGATACCAACGACGACACCAGTGATCGAATTGACTTTTCGAGGCTGGGCTTTGAAATAGCGGTCCCTGCGTCCGACGAAAGCTCCCATGCCCACCATGAACCAGAGCAGCGAGGAGAAGGATCCCTCTACAGGCAGCACAGCTCCAAACAAACACATAGTCAGAAAGATGATGAAGAGTGCCTTGGATATTCCATTGTTGCTGCTGATAATGTCAGCTGTGTGAGCTTTGACAGCTACGTCGACGATCTCAGTGACGATGAGAGTTACGTCCCTCCTCGACGAAACATGCCCACCAAATCGTATCCTCGCCGCACAAGTTATCGCTGCGCTCGATCGGATAGCCAAGGGCAAATAACCAGTGCTGATTTGGGCTATGAACCAGCTACTACGACTAGTCATCAGCACCCATCTCCGGCTGACTTGGGCTATGGCGAAGAAGCAGCACCCTCGCGGCCGGGCTACGGTGAAGATACGTCTCCAATCCGACGGCTCTCCATGGGTCGACCCGTCAGCAACCGCCGGTCCATGAAACTAGGTGGTGAACAGAGGCGTCTTACCAATGACTCCATGATCTCGAGTCGGTTCAGCCGTCGTCGATCCACTTGCAGCGGTACCACCAACTCGTCAATGACAAGCGGCAAGATGAGACGGGCTCACAACAAGGGGCGCAGTATCTCTCAACGAGAACGCATGGTCAACCGAAGTGCGGCTCGTCGCCTCAGTCGAAAACCTACTGCTCAGGTCCCCGTCGCTGCAACTTGCGGCGGAGGCAACACCGCAGCACAACAGACGCTCCAGGATTTGGGATGCTCCGAGCTCTTTCTCGATCCCCGCCGTCGCATGCCCCGAAAAGTATCATTGGAATATGGCAACGATTGCGGCTCGGTTAGCAAATGTCATCAGCCTCGATGCGTCTCACTAGAGTTTGATAACTCCTCCATGTCGAGCGGAGGCGCCCTCATGCCCCGCCGCGTCTCCCTCAAGTACGATCAACGAGCCGAAGACGAAGAGAGCTGCCGCGTCTTGAGACGGCGTGGATCCCTCGATTACTCCGTCGGCACATCCTGTCTGCCGCGAAGAGGTTCCATGGGTATTGCATCCGCACACGACCATAACCCTGATGGCACTTGCAGAGACAAGACGAGTCGAAGGCGAGCATCTTGTGGACGCAACCAAACCTACTTTACTGACACTTCTACTGGCAACGGTCGTCGTGGTTCTGGTTGCAGCGGCTGCACTCCGCCACGCCAGAACAGTAACAACAGCAAGGACACAAGGATATCCCGCCGCTCCTCCATTGCTCACATTCCGCGAAAGCAAATCAAGAATGGTACCAACAACAAAGATAGTAGCACCAGCCCCAAGCGCACCTCACAGGGATCTGTTCTGGGTGGACATCGGCTACGCCTCCAGAACGTTGGCGCTGTTGAGTACTTGACCAGGGAGTCCATGGTGGGACGGTCCGCATAACTTCAAATGGTAAAAACAATAGATTACTGTTTGATTCTTTCACTATTTCTAGCTATAACTTGTACAACAGTAGCTTTCAATTGCGTGGTTACTGTTCATCGGCTAAGCCTCCAGAACGTTGGCGCTGTTGAGTCCTTGACCAGGGAGTCCATGGTGGGACGGTCCGCATAGCTAACTTCAATGTTAAAAACAATAGATTACTGCTTGATTCTTTCACTGGTTCAACTAAACTTGTGCAAAAGTAGATTTCAATTGGGTAGTTCGATCGCTGAGGTCAAAGTCGGGCCAGGGCAAGGTGGATACCTGGGAATGGGTCGAACACTCAGGCGCCTGAATGAGCGGGGACGCGCTGCTTGGCTTCAGTGCTCTGTACCTCCGCTTCTTCCGTCGTCCAGCTCGCCGCGGTTGCTGTGGAATGATGCCCAATGGATGGGGCTTGGTTGGTGGCGTGGCAGCACGCTGGGATGCCGCCATGCAGCCGAGTAGGGGATGCTAGCTATCTACCACCGGCCAAGTCTTGCAGACAAATATTTGATGCTTTAGCTTACAAAGGTCAGCCAGAAATTTGTAAATGCTTTCCAGCTCTCCTCGCCTTTCTTATACTCAGTGACAAGTATGGTTTTAACAATGAGGGCAAAACTCCGTAACTCCAATCTGCAAGCCAAACAGACTCGCCAATGGTGCAGGCCACCCACCATGAAAGTTGTCAAACAGCTCACTCAAATCCTCATTCTTATGGCCACGTATCATGCCCACACCGCCGGGATGGCGAATATCCCAATCAGAGATATCGAACACTATACCTCGGTATAACATGAAGTTGTCCAGCGAATTGCAAGAAGAAGTGAGCTTGATGCCCTCCGCCTTTTTAATGTCAAACTTTGCTGCATAAGGACTCATGGAACACGAACACGCAGCACCTGCCTCTTTGGCTCTGACAATCATGGTCGCAACACGTCCACCCGTCCACAGAGCCCCCTCGGTCCATCCCTGCTCCGGCGAAAACGCCTCGCCAGCAAGATAGAGGCCTGGCAACCGAGCAGGATTAGGAGCCAGGGCTTGCAAACTGAGATCTTGCTTGTTTTTGCCCCGCACATGTGATTCGATATGCCATCGATGGACAAAACTGATCCTAACAAAGACCTCCTCTATAGTGTCATCCCATCCGGCGGGTGGTTCTTTCATATCCTCGATCCTTGTCAGCTGTCGCTTGACTTGTTCCATAACGGATTGGGGCCCATGAAACTGCAGTTCACGCCACACACGTTCAAAACGATCGCAAGCGTAGGCAGCCTGAAAGATCCCCTTGCCATAATCGCCACTAATGAGCTGGGAGACGATACAGGAAAAGTAAGTGATCTGTTAGCTTGGTTCTGCCACCATATATGACGTCGTCGCACACACACACATACATACCTGTTGGAGGATGGAGTCGGGCACTTTGCGATAGATGCGATCCTCAACATCAGAACGGTCTGGAATGGCTGGATAGGTCTCCTTGCACTTGACATAGACATGTCCCAGACGACGCTGATGAACAGCAAAAAGGGCAGGTTGCATGTCTTCTGCAACGCTCAGCTTGCGCAAGGATACTGGGGGTGCTGCCAAGACGACTTGATCGGCCGTCATTCGAAGAGGGGTATAGGAGTTGCCCTGTCGTTTCATAATGTCAATGGTATACGTGCCGGCTTCATTTTTGCTTACGTTGGTGACGCGATGATTGGTCTTGACCATTCCCTCGGGCAACTTGGAAGCCAACTTCTTGGGATACTGGTCCATGCCGCCTTGGACGATGAACGCATTGGTTCCATGTGATTCGTCTGGCCAGGTGATTTGAGCCGTGCGACCAGCATATCCCGATTGCCTGTCCTGCTCATCCGCCTTGGCGGCACTAATGAGACTGGCCGTGGCAAAGTCGCTCAAAGGAGCTCGCCCTTCCGGGAGCACATACTTGTCTCTCTCCTCTTGAGTTCCGCTGCAGACGTGTCCAGCCGGTCCATGCTTGCACTGACCCTTGCCTTCCTTGTCCTTGTCCTCGGGCGGAGTGACTTGAGGAATGAGGGTGATATCCAGTTCTTTGGCGAGGGCAATCATTTCCTTGTTGACTTCGCCCACACGCCAACCAAAGTCGTTGAATAGAACATTGCTATCACCGTCCCTGTGAGTAGTGACCCTTCCTCCCACCACAGGACGTCCTTCTAGTACGACAATGTCATCAATCTTGGTGGTATCGCTTTGAAGAAGACGATAGGCAGTGTAAAGGCCTGCCACACCACCCCCCACAATGATTACCTCATGATGTTCCGGAGCTTCCACAGCAGCTTGAGGACGTTTCCATGCCGCTCCCACACGGCTGACTTGATGAATCACCCACTTTGGTACGGCAAGAGGCATGGCGATAAGGAAAGTAAAAGGAAACAGAGGTGAGGGTATAAAATGCAGTGAGTACTTCTACAACATGGCCCGAGAGATTATGGCTGATACCGGTACATGATGGACTCATGGGTAAGCGGACCATGATGAGGACCTTCCTGTTTCCCGTACCAGTTCACAAATGATCCACGGTTCACGGTTCGCTGGTGTCAAAGACTCGGGAATAAATATGATGGCCAAGCAAAGGTTGTCAAAACAGCAAAAATTGAAAAATTGATGTTTTTAAACATTTGAAAAATCAATTTGTTGACGTCATTCACACACAACATTTTATTGTTAACGAATTGCATCATTCGATTCATCCGACTCAATTTGAAACTTCCGTGTCGGCGCAATCCTCGATCTTGCTTGCAACCGCTCCGTCCACAAAAAGACCCCGACTGCACCGACCTTCTCTTTTGCTCCATCACCCGATCACCTTCCACCAAAACCCCTTGTCTGCTAGTCTGCTAGCTAGCCGAGCTCGTTATTCACGATGAGCACCAACAGCACCAACACCACCACTCCCGAGACTACGGAGGAGCCCGTGAAAAAAGCAGAAGAGCAGGTGACCACTAAGGAGGAGACCACCGCCAATGCTACAAATACGATCGACGATACCAAGGACCAGCAAAAGAAAGATGCGTCTACCACGGATGAAGAGACTGTGAGCGTCACCAACTCCAGCACCAGCAGTAACATGACTGTTGTAGAAGGCGAGAAGAGCTCTGTTGTTGAAGTCACTGACACTGCCGATGCGGCTGTTTCGGCCAATGCTACTGTTGCCAATGCCGCGGCTGCCAACACCACCACAATCACCACCAGGGTGGAAGCGGAAGTGCAAGAAAATACCGAGAATGGACAAGACAAGGTTCTCGACACAGCTTCTACTAACCTGGGTGGAAATGAAACATCGAACAGCGACAAAGAGACTGTGACAAACACGACAAAAAATAGTGACAACACCGAAATTAGCAACAGTCCTGCCGAGGGGAAAGTCGTCCCGGACGGAGACAACACTGTCGAAACCAACAGCACTCTCGGAACCACCAACACAACTGAACCAGCATCAGAAAGTGGCGTGGAGAAAGAAGCGGGAAAAACTGATGAAGGAGAAGAGAAAAAAGAGGAACCCAACGAAATCGAAACCAATAATCAAGGAGAGGAAATAGTCGACAAAAATCAAACTGATGTGGGAGCAAAAGAGGAATCCAACGAAATTGAAACCAAGAATCAAGGAGAGGAAATAGTCAACAAAAATCAAACTGATGTGGGAGCAGAAACAACAGCAAAAGAGGAATCCGGCGTAATTGAAACCAAGAATCAAGGAGAGGAAATAGTCAACAAAAATCAAACTGATGTGGGAGCAGAAACAGCAGCAAAGGAGGAATCCAACGAAATTGAAACCAAGAATCAAGGAGAAGAAATAGTCGACAAAAACCAAACTGATGTGGGAGCAGGCGGTGAGGAACTCGTATCAGGAACAAATGGTACCGAAGTGCAAACTGCTAATGAAACTGCCAGTCCGGGAGAGACCAAGGAGGAAGAAATTGAGAGTGGTGGTAGCGAGGGAGTTTCGGAAGAACAGAGTACGAATGAAACTGGTGAGACCGAGGAGGAAGAACAAACTACGGATGAAGAAGCGGCCAATGAGGAAGACACTGAAGAGGAAGAAGTGGAGTCTGATTTAGCCGAGGAGCAAACCAAAGATGAAGAAACTGCCGACGAAGGCGAGGCGGAAGGAGACATTGAGTCTGGAGGAACCGAGGAAGGGACTGAAGAGGAAACCACAGATGAAGAAGCTGAGGGAGAAACCGAGGAGGGGACTGAAGAGGAAACTTCAGATGAAGAAGAAGCTGATGACGGAGAAACCGAGGAGGATGAGCAAACTGCGGATGAGGAAGCTGAAGTTGAGGGAGAAACCGAAGAGGAAGAACAAACTGAAGAAGTTGAGTCTGGTGGAACCGAAGTTTCGGAAGAACAAGCCACTGATGATGCTGCGGGAGAGGAAGAAATTGAGTCTGGTGGAACTGATGAAGCTGCCGAGGAGCAAGCCACAGATGATACTACTGGAGAGGAAGAAACTGAGGGTGCCACCGATGATGCTGCAGAAGAGGAAACCACTGATGATGCAGCTGGAGAGGAAACCACTGAGGGCGCCACAGATGATGCTGCTGGAGAGGAAGAAGCTGAGGGCGCCACTGACGATGCCGCTGGCGATGAAGAGACTGAGGGCGCCACGGATGATGCAGCTGGCGATGAAGAAACCGAGGGCGCCACTGATGATGCAGCTGGCGATGAAGAAACCGAGGGCACCACAGATGATACTGCTGGTGAGGAAGAAGAAACGGAGGGCGCCACTGATGATACAGCTGGAGAGGAAACCACAGATGATACTGCTGGTGGGGAGGAAGAAACGGAGGGCGGAGAAATTGAGTCAGGAAATGATGATGGTACGGAAGAAGAAACTACTGATGATGCAGCTGGAGAGGAGGAAGGCGGAGACGAAACGGAAGAGGGCGTCGGTGGAGGTGAACAAGAAGAGGAGGAATTCCGCAATGGCGACAACACTGCAGAACAACCATTTGACGGTGGGTTCGGCGACATGAAAAACCTCGATACTAGCTCCGAAACGAAAGTCAATGAACCCACTGAATCCTACGTCCCTACCGGCAACACTCCGAGCAGCAGCGGCAGCAATAACGAAGTTGGCGGCAGCAACAAAGACCAGTATCAGAGTGGGATGGATGCTGAGTCAAGTAATGCTCCAGTCATTCTCATTGCCGCCATGTTGGGACTGGTGTTGATCTTTTGGATTCGGGGACGAAGCAACAGGAATGGAAGGCACCGTAAGAATGGATACAGCCAGCTGCCACATCACAACAGCCGCAACCCATACCGCAGTCCCAGGAACTTTAGGTAGGTCGATGCTGTGGGTGGCAATCGCTGCGCATAACGGAACAATTCCAGATGACATGATAGCCACGAGGCCGCATGTTAGAAGTAACAACTTTGAGAAGTGAATGAATCTTTTTTATTCCTAAATTAACTAAGGACAGCCGTACTAGACTACATGTACAGACTAAAAAAATGTTGGAGAACGTCACTTTGCCTGCATTGCTCCGTCAGGCAGTGCGAGCTAGTTGGGAACGTGGGCATTCTGTGTTACCTTCCCGGTCAACAAAACGACCTGGATTGTTTCGGGGGAGGACTGACTTCTTCAGATCCATTGACACACGACGTCGACTCATATGCCCAGCAGACGACGACGAGGAGGAGGACATACTCACATCCATAGTGACTCGGCGGCGAGTTTGATTTGCAACGAAAGTCAGTGCAGTCCCCTTCATGGCACTCTGGTGCTGGTGTTCCACACGACCTGGATTGTTTCTGGCGAAGACTGACTTCTTCAGATCCATTGACACGCGTCGTTGACATGCTTGCCCAGCAGACGAGGAGGAGCAGGAGGACATACTCATGTCCATAGTCACTCTTCGTCGGGTTTGAGTTGCAACCGAAGCCAGTGCAGTCCTCTGCATGCTACTGGCACTGTGCTCCCGAGCGACTCGATTGTGCGCCATGGACGCACTGCGAGAGGGCCTCGAGGACACGTTCTTGGTGATTCCTCTTGTAGGAGTCCTCTCCGAAGGAGACGACTGGTATCGGTAACTGTGATCCATCGTTGTTCGCCGCACTGGTCTCCCACTAAAGCTGTTGGACGTCATCAAAGTCCCATGTAGATCCTGTTCTTCCGAAACTCCTCGCTTCAGGCGTGAGGTCCCCATGGAGACGCCCAAACACCCAGATCTCGATCTTGCGACGCCCCTGTCCTCAGATTGCTGCGAAAACTGTAGGGAGATTCGGCGTGGTGTCTGGCCTTCACTATGGGATGCTGCGTCGTATTGCAAGTCGACACGGCTGGGTTTGAGTGCACTCTCGGCTTTAGTCAAGTTGTCGTGAGAGAACGAAATGCTGCAAGACCTGATTGAACTGTGGCTGTGGCGAGTGCAGCAATCACACAGGTCGTGCACCAAATCCTCTTTCTCGTCGTCATCTTCTTCCTCCTCAGAGCTGTAGTCTACCGAACTGTCGTCGAACATGGAAAGGTCGGAATGAGACGAATGATCATCAAAGATGCTTTGCCTCTTTTGGACTGTCAGTCGCTGAGACGCTTTCACTCCACCGCCCGATCCAACCTTTCTTTGTGCCTGCGTCTCCTCTCCATAGCCAAGCACCTCCAGGCCAGGCAGCTCTTCCTCTTCACCACCGTATCCCAGATCATCTGCAGTCAGAACGGCATCGTCTGTTGCGCCATATCCAAGCTTGTCGTTGTTGCCTTGGAGGACACATCCATCGTCTCCATATCTACTAGACCCACTGCTCATGGAGGCATCACTGTCAAAACAAACTTCTTCGCGATGGGACATGTTTGAAGATTTTATTACTCGTAATGAGCTGATACTTCAAATGAGCGATATCGCGATTGTCGAAAAGAAAAGATTATGAAATTGGCGGGAGCGATGGCTAGCTACCTGGTACTAACTAGTAGCTGGTAGCTGGAGCACTTGAGAGGTTGGAAGTTGGAACAGTTCGAATGATGAATCAGGCTTCTGCTACCGGTATCTTTGTAAAAGAAACCAGGAAGAGCGAGTTCTCTTAGAGTGGTGATGCCAGGCCAAAGGCTGGCTTGCACTCGGGAAGAAGGAGGGGTGGCCTACGTACAGCTGTTGAACAATAATTCCTAAAGAGAAACAACAGTGGAACCGTCTGGTTCCACTGTAGAAAATGGACGCGACCGGATGTGCTCGCGGGCTCTGAAGGTGCAATTATACAAGATGTGCTGGCAGTGGTGCTTGATGGGAGTTTTCAAAAGCTAGAAAAGCAAACAATGCAAGGGTACGGTTGCCAACATTTCTACATCTTTCAACGGAAATATGATAGCTGCATGACAGACTGGTATTATGCACCCAGCAAGAGCGAACAACCCGCCGGTCGCTTTACCGACCAGGTAAGGAACAGTAGCTGGATACTCAGTACTCCAGTACCGGTAGTAGCTATGCAGCCAGTCGTTGGTTTCTTCTCCGAGTATTGTACACATTGCGCATTGAGCTTTGAGCTGTGTTGTTGCACTGCTGGAAGTTCTCCTGTGTTTCGGACCCAGATCAAATCTGACTCCTCTCCAGCCAACACCATCTACCTACTAGAGTGCATGATGTACGTACATGTACTCAAGCTAGCCAGAGAGGAGACAGTATCGCTAGCCAGTAGCCACTGACAGGTTGGTGAAGACCAACAACTCAGTAACTGCGTACAGAGAAGGGCTCAGCTAGCCAGACGGTACCAGCAGTGCAAGCAATCGTGCAACCGTTACGATACAGCACGGTACCGCTACGGTACATCGTACCAGCCACTGAGTTGCTTGCTTTGCAATTTGGCAAGAGTACATACATGTACATGTATGTGATGTACTGAGTGTGGCCTAATGATACCGGTACAGTCACAAAGTACTACTGAAAAGAAGATGCGGAAGGCTGCCTCCTTTCCACCGAAAGCTTCGTTAGAAACTGCCAGGGTGTCGCGAGCTCTGAATGGCGAGCCTTCTGCTAGTGCCAGTCTCGGCCGCTGGCTACGTGGTACTCTGAGTACTGGCCAGCTAGCTAGTGACCGGCTCGACAGACCCCACTTACCTTTGTACTAGTAGCGGTCGCCAATGGTGGTGGCTACCGTATGTGGCTGTGCCAATACCGGTATTGCACTCAGCCCCAAAACGTCTCAAACAGTCAGTACTCTAACGAAAAAGTTGAGAATTTTGAAAAAGGTGATAACTCCTCAGAATCACCAGCAGGATTTTTAATGGTTTTGGGTTAGGGGGATTGTAGAATTCTCAACTTGATCTTCAGATTTGTGTTGGAGTCAGCAGGTTTGAGAATTCTCAACATTTTCGTTGGAGTAGTTTGGGAAGGAAGAAACTGGAAAAGTCAAATCCAAAAGGTATTTCGCAGCTCATTGCTGGCTTAAAGCTCTGAGTATCCACGACTTGGGCACGTCTGAAGAACTCAAGCCGAAAGTATGGATGCTGCCACCTGCCATCATGCCAGTGATCCGCTGTTGTGTGAGAGCTTTCAAAACCAAACCAACAGGGATGATGAAAACCTTTCAGAAATGGCAAAAGGGAAGCGCGACGCCCGACATGAAGCGCAGCAACAGCAACAAAAAGGATGACGATATCTTGCACCTCAAGCTTGATCTGCGCATTCAAATCGCGTCGGATTTGCATTTGGAGTTCTATGGGAAACCAAACCGTATACCATCCGACATTATCCAACGGAGAGCTCCGGTTTTGGCATTGCTTGGTGATATTGGAATGGCATGTACCGACATATTGAGATTCTTTCTCTTGCAACAGAGCGATCAGTTCGAGCAAGTCCTGTTTGTCGCTGGCAACCACGAATTTTACAATCACCCGAAGGAGCTGAAACCAATCACGGTTCAACAACAACTGGAATGGATTCGTCAAGTATGCCAAGAACGAGACAATCTGCACTTTTTGGAACGACAAGCTGTGGAAATTCAAGGCGTGAGGATTCTAGGGACCACCTTGTGGTCCAATATTCCCAAACAACAGAGTCGACACGCCGAAGAAGGAATGAACGACTATCAACTCAGTTATATCAGCGATCATTTTGGGTCTGTCCAACATATGACCGCCAAATACACCAATTCCTGGCATAGTTTGAGCGTGTTCTGGCTGGAACAGCAGATCCAACGGGCCAAGCACGACGGCAAGCCGGTGGTTGTCCTGACCCATCATACCCCCTGCACGGAGGCAACTTCTCATCCCATGTACGCAGACAGCTCGTATTCGTGCTGCTTTTCGTCCGACTTGGTGCATTTGCTGCGTGATCCTGTGAAGGTGTGGTGCTGCGGCCATACGCACTACAACTTTGATTTGGTGATTGATCAAGAGAAGAAGAAGTTAGTGCCGTCATCATCGTTGGCAAACAAATCGACAGGAGGAACAAGGCTAGTTTCCAATCAAAGAGGTTATCCTGGCCAAGATAAAATGGATTATGACAGCCAAGGGCTAGTGGTTCGGGTCTCCAACCAGCCCTAGCTAGCTACCGACGCGAAAGGAGGAATGGATTAACCTGCAGAGTACTACACGTAGCGATGCGAAGGGCTGCTGTGTTCTGGGGATGTCGTGTCCTGGTCCGGTGGTGTGGGAGGTTTCTCGCGATTGATCATTCGATTGAATCCTTCGATTCGATTCGATTCGATTCAACATTATTCATGATTCGTGTGAGAAATGTGAGCAAGTGAGGAGGGAGAGGGATCCAGCGAAAAAAGTGAGAGGGTGAAGTGAAACCGCGTGGTTTGGCATAAATAAATCAGATTTGAGGGCTCTCGGGTTCTTTAGAGACGGATTCCAACTAGAGGCAAAGATCTTGGAGAAACTTTTCTCAGTCTTCTTGGCCCAAAACCGGTCCTGTCATCGTTCTTGTAAGCTAGGATACCCAACCTAGCAGCCATCAGCGGAGTGAGAATGTAATACTTGTAGGAACAGTGGGGGGCCCTGCGGCTCCATCCCTCCAACGAATGTGTATAGCTGGTCCTTTCATAATTCAGACTGTTGCTAGTTTGGTGGTTGCCATTCCTCTTGAAATCGTTCTACCATGTGCAAATCCGACAATGGCAACGGCACCAGTGCCGTCGTTCTGCAGAGGCAACAAGTGGAAGAAACCGAGAAACAGTCCTCCACTACTAGCGAGACCAAGAGCAACACAAGCAACGGCTATGTTATCAAAGAGCAAACGATTGGAGAAAAATTGTTCCAAGCCAAAGAGGACCGCATGTACTTTCACAAGATTCTTGGCTTTAGCGCTTTGGCCAGTTATGCCTATCGCTTCATCAATCTGGGACCCCAAGACGGCAATTTCAATGGCATTACTCCCCTCATCTTTGTGGTCCACCATGCCTCTCTCAACTTGTCCAGTTTCGTGTTTGATATCCCCCAACGTCGCATCAGAGGGGGCTTTCGGATCTGGCCGGAATACCGAATTCATTCCATGGTCTTTACCTTTCGCAATCTGGCATGCATGTTGCGATTGTGGATGCTATTGAATATTGTGAATAAAGACGACGACACTGTGTGGTACTCGGTGTTGAATGGCGGCCTGGTCAATTGGGCCATTGTCATTGCCACTTGTGCCGCTGCGGATTATGGAAGTTCCCTCAGTGCTCAGTACAAATCCAACACGGTCCGGGGCACGGATTACTTTGACCCGTATGCGAATTGGTTTGCTAGTGAAATGCAATTCCAGCTCACGGCGATGTGTTTGGCGGGTGGATACCAGCGGTACTCACTCCACTTGGTGGGGGCCTTTATCATCCAATTCAATAGCTTGTGAGTGAATGAAAGATGTGTTCTTGTAGTGTTGTTTCCTTATGAGCCGTTCCAACAGTGACACTGACACTTTGATTTTGTTTGCTTGCCATATTGTAGCTTGATGACAATGAGAAGGAAGAATCTGTTTAGCCACTTGACACTGACCACAACCTATGGTGTCATGCTTTTGGCTTCCATGTTTGTTGGTTTGTACGAAGATTATTTCACCAATGACCACGTTACCATTGCTGCAACCTTTGCCAACTTGGGAATCATCCTTCGCATGGGCATGGGAGTGGACAAGTACATTGTCTGGACCGTCGTGGCGGCTGGCATGCACGCTGCCAACACCCTGTTGCCACCGTTCATGGATGGGCTACCACGAGACCCTTCCTTTTACTGGACCATTGCATTTTGGGTTACCAAGTTCACATGCTATGCGTTTGGTGTCCGAAAACGTTCTTTGATTTTGAAAAAGAAGAAGGAATTGGCAGAAAGCAAAGACAAGGGCTCCACCACCTTTAACAAGGCGGGATACGAGGTTGTTGCCGCCGGCTTTGTCGTCTTGTCCGCCTTGGCAACCTATGACATGTTGGACATTTTTGAAGTCATCTAAAGCTCTGCTGACTGACTGGTTTAGAATATTTATTTTAGAAGTACAATTTTGCAAAGATGGATTGTCACACGAACTATGCATATCTAGCTAGATGGGGCTTCAGCAGCTAGCTGGTTGTGCAATAGTGTTCATACTTGTTGTTGATGTATTTGTGTATATTTGGGCGTACAGTACGTACGGTATTCCAGTGCAAATAGATTTGAAAAAGTTGCGCTGCAGGGCCAGCACAGCGAATACATGAACCGAGTAGTCCGTACAAGCCAAAATGGATAGCAGTTGCGCCAGAAGCAGCAACAGGACCAGGCATACGCTCCGGGGTAGACTGCTTTCCCTTTTCTTCTTGAGCGAGTGAGCTGACAGTCTACAAGTAATCTCTGCGGGTTGATGCCTCTCTTCACGGTTTGCTCATTCAGGATACTCTATCCGAGCTGGACAACTTCAACCTCCCTTTACTGTACATGTACGTTCCGGGGCTTTCTCGTAATGATTATTTGTCTTCATCAAATGCATGGTCAAAGGTCGTTTTGTATAGATACTCGTCCATATCCAGTTCTCGTTCTTTCCTTCCACCCGTCATCATCCAGGGAGCAGCTTGTGCCGGATCATATAATTGGGAGATTTGTTCTGTTTTGTTTTCTTGCCCCGATAAAAAGACAATCTTACTGCTGGTTTTGGTTCCCACAAAGGGTGACAATAATTGCCACAAGATGACAAATGCCATGGGAGCATCGAGAATGACAATTTTGTCAATGTGACCCACGTAGTGACGTCGAAGTGTCTGTAGAAACTGCTGGCCCACATGGAGTGGAGGAGCATGCACCATGGGTTGAAAGCCGGCAATGTCGACCACGGCATTGATGGAATCTTGTCCGGCATTACGTTGACTGCAAGCAATCGTTCGTTCCATAGTATAGAGAGCTTCCATCATGGTCCAATGCAGGTCGTGATGAATGCTCTTTGGAGGTCTAAAATGAAAGGTAGCTCTTCCTTCCTTGTCGTATCCCATGACAAAACTCTTTTTCGACGACAGGCGTTCCGCCAGTTCCGATCGAAACTGCTGCTGCTGTTCATCATTATCATCGATACTGTCATCAAATGTCCGTCGGAGCTGATCCAATTTCATTTCTTGACGAAATTGGAGCGTCAGTCTCATGCAGTCCAGTGCTCTATCGACGTCCTTCTTGGACTTGAGATACCGTCGTGCCATGGCCGTGGCGTGTTTTTGGCGGTCTTCCACAGTGGCAGTGCCACTCCAAGCACTCTGAAGATACTGATAGTTTGTGCGGGCAGCAGTCTCCATTTCTTCTTCGGTCAATTGGGAAAGCATAGACTGAAGCAGAGTCTCGCTCTCTTCTGCTGCTTCGAGGTTGTTCTCTTTGGAATCTTGCTGGAGGCACATGACGACTGTCCCTCGAATCTATTCTGTGTTAATCTTTTGAAGCAATCAGGCGCAGGGACACTAGCTAGCTAGCTAGCTAGCTGATGCAGAGAAGTATCGAATCGAATCAACAGGGTTGGCAATTGACATGTCGTGATCAAGAAGGCTCGGAATCTATTGGCAACATGATGAGAATGGATCATGGATCAACATCGCGGTTCTCGCTGCGTCATCATCGTCACTTTTTAGAAATCCAGAAGCCCACCCGCATCTTTCGAACTTCAGGGAGTTGCGGTACAATTGCGTGTTTGCCTAAGAATCCACGAGGGTACCGGTACACGACGGGCACACTTTACTAGTCTTTATGGTACGAATGGTACCGGTACGGAGCTTTTCCAGTGGTAGCAGATACATGTATCTCTGTTCAATATCCAAGCAAGAGCCACCGTTCCATTCCAATTAATTGTTCTCTTCCTTGGCTTCCATGATTGTGAACCAGTCCCTGTGATTCTGCTCTTCTCACATCTTTCGCGGTGCCGTTCTTGGATTTTGCAGGTGTTACGAGTTTGGGTCCGCTCATTCGCTTCGTGGCTCGTACATGACACGGGGCCGATTCATTTTAAGATTCGCTCACTTGCCGCTGAGGCTCAACTCGGGACTTAACCGTGTCGTGTATTTCGTCTCCTGGAGACGATTTGCTTTAGGGGTAATGGTACCGATGGGGGCAGAGGTTTGAATTATACCCCGCGCGCATTACTTAGAGGCCCCTGTAGAAGTCTACGTATTTGACTAGTATTGTATTGACGGGATACAGTCAACGCATGTACATGCACATGATACTCGCCTCACTTTTTCCCACAAGTTTCGCATGGATGAAGTATGAGAAAGGGAGTGGTACCAGCAATTATCCTCTTTGAGAAAACGGACCCTCATTGAACGGGTGAATTTAGTAACTGTAATATCGCCACTTTATCCAGCCATGTAGAACCTATCAACGCTCGGATCGTCTTCCACATACCGTCCGACGACACATCCTCTAGAGTGTTAGATAGCCGATATCCAGCATGTCGGCTCATGTGTTACTCTCTTTAGCCAAGAGCATGCCGAAATGATGGTTTGCGCCATTTTACGAAGTTTACCACATTTTGGGCGTCTAAGTTTTTAATCGGGCCTCTAAGTCCAGTACACTGAATTCCACGACAAAGAAACAAAAACTCATTTGCTACGATGGATGGATCAACCATGACGAACAACAACAAAGAACAAAGAAGCAAGCGGCTTGCCGCTACGGTACCCAGTGCCACCGAGCCGACGGTTGCATTAGTGGTAGAGGCGCCATGGTCGCTCCGGCTTCGGCCATTGTCGAGGAGGAGTAAAAGAGCATAGCTTTCGCTGTTTTCGTTGGTTGAATTTATGGACCGAACTGACTGACTGCTTCGATTGAGGTTGGTTTCGTGCGTCGGAGAGTCAGTCGTCGAGTGACTGTTTACCCTCTTTTAACCTTCCGATAGACAACAGCCAGTAGACTAGCAACAAGTTCAGTTTTCCATCTTCTCGTGCAACAAATAGCCATAGGAATTGTCTCAGAATGTGGAAAATTGTTGTTGCAGCTGTGGATGCGGCGTTTGTTAATTCAATCCCACAAATCGGTTAAGAGAGGACCAACGAGGGATGGCCACCGACTGATAAACATGAAAGCCACTCCTCTTCTTCCGGTTCATTATTTCGTTCAACGAATCATTGAAAAGTACACTTTTGCTATACTTTCTGAGTCAATACATGATTCACTATTCGAGAATATATCTTTCAGGGCACCTTTACTAATGCCTGTGCAGGATTGCGAATGTCCTATTCTTACTGGTCAAGCAAAAGACATAAAGTAAAGCATTTGAATCCTGCATAAGCATGTGGTTGTACCCCTTAGATAAATTTACTATATATATTATTGTACAAATCTACTTCAAAGTGCAGTCATACTTGTTCTAAATTGGACCAAACTATTTATGCATCTCACAAAAAGTATAACAAAAATGAAATACACGTTTAACATAGGGTATATGATGTTAAATCGTGAGCCGTTTCGGGGCGAAGCTGAAAGGGATGAACGCGCGGAGCGCGCAAATACTGTTTCAGTAAAGCGAGTTAGGTGTTGGTAATAAAAGATTTATGGAAACGGAGACGACCCAGGGGGCATATGAATCATGTATCAAGGTTCTCGATACAAACCTTTTAACTCAAGGGACAGTGTGCGTATGGATTAGATTCGGTCCCACCTAACCGTCTCATGCTTGCGTAACTTGACACCACAGATCTAGAAACTGCTGTTGCAAAACTGCTGTTGCATGCTTTCTTTAGATTCGATTCATACCACCGAAGGCACTTACGATACGATTCGTTTCGATTCAACGCCCTTACATATTATCATCATCCTGAGCAGCAGTAGCACTGTGGTCGATGCGATGTCCAAGACGGAAGGAGCGCCTCAGCCATCCACAGACAGCAATTCTGCCGTGGGTGAGACTGCGGAACTGTTTTTGTCAAACAGTGGCACTCCGCATCTCAAGCTGAAGGCAGCCGATGGCAATAGAACTGCTATTATTCTAAACAAGATATTCGACACCGACGAATTTCCTTCTTCGGAGTTCAAGGTATGCGATATCGATGGAGATGAAGTCGACGTTGCATCCTTCGCAGCCATCAGCGAGGGCTATATCCTTATTTACAACAACAAGAAGTATCGTTTTACCAAGTCAATTCCAGTCCAGCACGATGGTGAGTGGCGTTGTTGTGCGCGAACTCCTGCATTAACTGTAAATGCGCTTGTCGAATACAGCTCCACCTTTGCAAGGTGTTTGGCGACTCGTCGGTGAAGGGAGTCAACTTTGCATCGAACGCAACCTTCGTTAGTCTGTGGTTACGAGAAGAGTATTTGCCCTCTTCGTTGTTGGGCAAGCTGGAGCAAGTCAGAGGTGGGGAACAGGCGTACCAGTGGTGGCGCGAGTGCACCGAGGAGATGGCTGATAGTGGCAACCCTAGTCCCATCATTCTCATGGACACTGCTGAGACGCTCTCTGTAATCAACGAAAAGCCACCAACTCCAGAAAAGCGGTCGCCAAGCTCCACAACCAAGATAATTGACCTTAGTCGCACTGCTGCTTCATCTTCGCCCTCCACTCCGCGACATCATAAGAGTAGATCTAATCCCAAAGAAAAGTATCTTGTGCTGGAGTGGCTTATGATGCAGATCCCCAATAACACCGCGATGATTGCATTCGGAACGGGTGCAAAGCGCTCTCATCCACGACCAGCGGCTTTTCAAACCTACGTCTATCACCGGCCGATTGAACCCTTGAGCGCTCTGACAGAAGGTTCGGCACTACGGCTCTTTGCGATGCTTAAGGAAAAGCAGCCTGACAGCCTCACTGAGCAAGATAAGAGACAAGTCCGAACAGCTTTTGCAGTCACTGCGGGAGTACCGCGCATGATTGTCACGGCCTTCACCGTGGAAGGAAAGCTAGCGAGTACAATGAATGAGAAGTGGGAGGAAGCTGTCAAAGACACGTACACCGATGCCTCCGACCTTGTCTCGTATAACAGACTGAACGTTTCATGCTTGGCAAAGGCAATACTGATGTGTGCAGTTTCTAACGTCACGTTGGTTACTGACGAAAGAATTCCCACGGAAGAGGTGACATGGGATGACCTTCGTTGGCGATCCATCGTCTTCCTATCCGCTGCAGAAAGTGGCGCCGAATCGCCAACACTGCGGATTCCTCGTCTATTGTGGGGCCGCGAATCGAATCTGCACAAGGAACTTAGGGAATGGGTCGATGTCAACTGTCATTTTGCATTGGACGATCTTTTGCCGACAGTGCTTTCCCTCTACGAAGATACAGGCGAAGCCTCAGCCACAGCAAGTGGTAGGCCGTGGGAGAAGATGTTTGCAAGTGCACTCGTGGCGAGATTCTTTGTGTTTTGTTGGAAAGAAGGGGAAGATCCCGCAGTGCACTTCGTACCACTGCATAAGTTGCTACCACAGAACAATGAGGCAGATAATAGTGCTCTTGAAAATGTCGAAGTTTGTCTCGGGAACGGTGTTCAAACCTGTTCATCTGAGACTCTTGCCGTCAAACCCCCAGGGGGTGGCTTTGATTGGAAGGCAATCCATGCCAACTGGAATATTCAAAGTGCCCACCACGACATGATCCTTCCCGTTCGCAAGCGAAAATCAAAGAAGAGAGAGTTGTGGGTGGTATCAGCCCGAAGTGGCCACCGCAAGATTGAATGCGAGCTGGAGAGGACCATGCAGCATCTTGTGTCCAAGGAGGATGATAGAGAAGTTGCTGGGCTAATTCAGGCTGTCAACCCAAGAGGGGAAACATTGCCGAACAGGCGTATGAAAAGAAAGTTCAGCGAAATGCAAGATGAAGAGAGATACGCTGAGGTGAGCATCAATGAAGGTCATGTCAGTTACGTTCTGTAATGCTTCCCCTGAGACCGCCAGAGCACGAACCACTGCCGATACATTTCCATATAGAGACCATAGCGTTACATCTTGAGAGAGAGGGGGTTACTGTAGGTCCTAGTTTATTACTGTATCCATGCATAGTCCTCGTTTTCGTCCTCGGCTGCTACTACTTGAACGTTCGTGAATCATACGATTGCATCGCCTTGGGTGTAACGCATAATGCTACGTTACATAGGGGCTAAAAGCAAAACCCCGCATCTTTCAAACTTCAGGGAGTTGCGGTACAATTACGCGTTAGCTAGCTACGTCGTGCCTTTCCAACGAGGGTACTGGCCGGACTTTTAGGGGGGATCCGGCCGAAGGCCGGGGGGAACCACCCCCAGCGGAAGAGAAAAGGGTTACGGTTTCATTCCAGATTCCATGCGCGCGCACCTCGGTGGGTCATTCTTGCACGTCATATTCCAACGTCAGCCATTTGAAAAGGAGGGGAGATGGCATTATAAACAGTAAATGAGCACTGCAACAGCCATTTCCCCACTCAAGCGGCACTAGAAGTGTCATGTACGTACCTCTATCACAATTCAAACCTTGTAACGTGAACCCTTTGGTTTTTTTCTCGTGCTCATCTTGTTTTTCCCGACGCAGCTGCCCACAAAAAGCAATCACTACAACTACTACGGTGACTATTCGGTGCAACACAATGATGGTATGTTTGAATGGATGGTTTTACTATTGCTAGCTATGTTTATGTATTATATGTATATCCATTGACAATGTTCTTGTACGGACAACCCAGCAAATGGGGTGGTGCTCCTTTCCTGCCGGTGCGCTGTAGCCAGAGTTTGAATGGACCACAGCAACCTCCTGGTGGAGGCGATTGCATCTGCAAAAAGAACTGTGGTTGTACCCAATAAAACTGTTGAACGGGTGTCGGCCATGGAGCAATGGCACCTCCCGGTGCCGCCGCAGGTAAGGGCGCTGCTGCAGTTTGTTGTTGTCGTGGTGCTGCGTGCGGCTGCTGGGGTGATGGATGGCGGTCGCTGACATTGTTGTTTGTTGTTTCTATAGCCGTTTGTCCGTTATCTTGGTTTGGCGACGATGGATTTGAATTTGAATCGGCTTCCGGTGATGGACGCATGCAAAGATCACACAAGCACATGTCATTTTGGTAAACCTGTTTGTGTGGCTCCACCGTGCTTAAATACTCTGAAAAGAATCTCTCACCATTATCTTCTGGAAGCTTTTCAGCTTTTGGAAATGGCAAGTCCAATCCAACAGAAGACGCCATGGCGTTAATGTGCCACAGCTCTGTGTGATTCCAGAATGGCACCACTCGATCCCATCCAGAAGGAATGTTTCTGTCATCTTGATTTGCATTAATCAGTGATCTCTTGTGGCGTATGTTCAGATTGTATCTCGCGGTGCCACACAAACTGAGGTTGTCACACAGAGAACGGCGCATTCCACCATTGGCGAAATTAGCCAATCGATCATGGTAGGCTTCCAGCTTGGATTCTCCTCTCCGTGAAAGATACTCTGTGAGCCCGTGCGTGGAATTAGGAGGAGGTAAGATTTCGTCGTACATTTCCTCCACTGGATCAACTAAATGAATGGCCTTTTCCTTGCAGTTCTCCACAGCAGTTTTGGTTTCGGGAGTGAACAATGTAATGTTCCGGTAAGGATCCAGCCTGCCCTGAGCAGCAGTGCTACCAGGCGATGCTGTTACTTTGTACCGACAGAACCAATCGTCAAGCAGCTGGATCATGGTTTCCGGTGGTCTCATCTGCTTCCGGAGATATTTTGAGTATCTTTTACGGAACAAACCAGTCGACTTGAGTTGCGAAATGTCTTGGTTGGAATACTTCCGGCCAGTAGGTGAGAGTGATCCATTTCGCAATGCTTGAAGGAGCTTCTCATAGTCTGTTGTGTTGTAAATGTACAGACATGAAAGGAGATCAGATATAGCCTTGCCGTGATCAATGTGGTTCTTCTTGAGGGTCGAGATGATTCTCTTTTCGAAATGGAAGAGCCCAATCTTCCTTCAAGACCGGGGAAGAGTTGCTCCAGAACTCTTCCTTGTTTGGCCAAGTCGCTATACATGGCTCTGGGTGTGAACTTGTCACGGGTGGCTAGTTGTTTGGCAGCATGGGAGAAGTGAATTGTCTTTGTGGAAGGTACCAAAACAGCACTCGCGATCTCACCGTTGATGTTGCAGCATCCCAAACAGCTACTGCTCCAAGCTCTTCTGATAGTTTTTCACAGCGCGAAGTGTAGTCTTGACAGAAATCCCTGACACATGACAGTTTGAATCTCACGGGTGTGTCTCTCGTTGTCACTCAAGCCCCACGGATTCTTGTTGCTGGAGGAGGCTTGATCGAAAAGATCTCTAATTGTGTCTCCGTGAGGTGGATACTGTCTAATGAATTCACCATCCTTTGCAAGGTATCTCTGCAAGGAATATCTGGTGAGACCTTCTTGATTTGTGCAATATGATAGTAGGCCGCAGTTTTCTGAACGTATTCCCTGTTCATTGCATCGTACAGGTAGCCGAAGCTCGTTATGTCAAGATACGCTGCATAGTTCCTTCCATAAGTTAGCATGATGGAGCTGAAGACTTGCGACGTGGATCTGGAGAGGTGATACGTTGTTTTGGGGAGGCATATTTGGTCTCCACTGGATAGAGATTTGCCAAGTGTGGTGAAATGGCGAGTAGCACATCAGCTGAATTTGCATCGAACTTCCTTTTACAGGAGCAGCACTCCATTGACATGACGATGCACCAGGCAGGAAGGCCATCCACGTTGAAGACAGGAGGTCTTGTGCGAGAAATGTGATCTTTTGTTTTGGAGACTGCCATCGCAATCTCCATCAGGGCAAGGAACTTGGATGCCAAAACGCTGCCAGTCAAGGTATAGTAGCTTCTGTCCTACTATCGAATGATAGTGAGGTCCCATTGCTCCACGAAAGTAAGGAATTGTCATGGTGAGTCCATCAAAGTGTCGATCCAAAAGCTGGTGGTTCTTCTTTTTTCCACCAATAATCTTCCTCGAAACCTCTTCAGCAAACGCAATCATTGCCAGTGGAGCATTCTTTTTCTTGTGGGCGTTGCAGAATTTGTCGTCGCTAACCTTCTCTGTCACTGCTTTGCAAAGGAATTCAGCAGAGATTTGCTGTGTCATGTTGGATTCCCTTTTGCGAGAGGTAGATGTGGGCGAGAGTGAAGAATTTCTCACCAGCTTCTTTGGTTGAGTATCGCCAGCTTGCTTTCTCTGATTCGCTCAGCTCAGTACTCATTAACTTCTTCAGTCTCTTGCCCTCCTCCTCGCACGCCTCTGTTTGTGAAGATCACCACGACCTTTGGTCTTTCTGTTCTTGATGCAGAGTGCGTGGTGTGCTCTGTTGGTGGCTTCCTACCAGCTGCTCTATCCCTGCAAATTCTACAGTCTTGCAAGGGATCAAAAGCAGCGTTTCCTTCAAGATCAGGCTGCTCTCCTTTCTGGCCTTCCTCTTCTTGTTGGATGGTGAGAAAGCTCGCGACTCCTCTTTTCTTGGGTTTTCCGCTGCTGGCTCTGACCCATTTCTCCATTGTGACGAGTGGCCGCTCTACTTCGAGCATATGGGTTGGCTATCGGGGTGTTACTTGGCATGTTCTACTGTTCGATTGGTGGTAGGCAGCGTTTCGATCGAGCTAATGACCGCTACTTCTGTCATTGTCGGAAACGGAATCTCATCCATCGGCATCTCCAGCTTAGAAAAATCGACTGAAACATCGATGTAAGTATGCACACTTGCTCGTGAATTTGAATTTGGTCGGTTATCTGTTGCTGACATATGCGTTACTATCCGGTACTCATCCACCAATCATGTTTCTGCCTTTTGACGGGGAAAATCCGTCCCTCAACCCTCTCCCTCTACAGCCACATGCACAGGTTCGACGTGACTGAACTCCGTTCCCGCGCCGGACAGCATCTTGAAGACGCAAAGAAAAATATCTTGTTTTGCTTAGTCTAGGTATTTCCGAATGCGTGAGGAGGACTTCAAGAAGAATGAAGAAATAATCTTGACAAAACGCACCGTTCCCGACCCCCACAATTCCACCACTGTACAGCCTACTAGCTAGCTTCGTAGCAACAGAAAAGAAACAACCATGAAATTCGCAGTTCTTGCCTCTCTTCTTGCTTCGGCTGCTGCCTTTGCCCCTGCCCAACAAGGCACTTCCTCAACGGCCCTCAAGGCCTCCCCTTGGGACTCGAAGCTTGGTGTCCAGGCTCCTCTCGGATTTTTTGACCCCCTAGGAATGCTCAAGGATGCCCCCGAAGAATATTTCGAGGAATTGCGTGCCAAGGAGCTCAAACACGGCCGTATTGCTCAGTTAGCTTTCTTGGGTAACATTGTTGTTCTCAGTGGAGCCCGATTCCCCGGCTCATTGTCGTATGATGGAACTAAATTTGCCGACTTGCCAAGCCACGGTATTGAGGCCATTCAAGCGGTCCCCCATGCCGGTTTGGTTCAAATTTTCATGTTTATCGCGGCTGTGGAGATTGGAAGTTCTACGTTGAAAGGAGACTTCAAGGGCGACTTTACTGCTGTCAATTCCGATTGGTCGGACAGGTGGGCCAAACTCTCTCCGGACACCAAGCAGAAGAAGATGCAGATTGAGCTCAACAACGGTCGGGCAGCCATGATGGGAATCTGGGGACTTGTTACCCACGAACTGATTGGAAACCTTGACTCTATGCCTATCATCTCGGGTGGCGGCGCCCCATCCTTGCCATCCGTATCCTTGCCATTTTAAAGTACACGGATTACTCAGTTGTATTAACAAAAGTAGCTGGTTAGAAGTGATATTTGTTTGTGTGGTACGAAGTGCCCTTTGCTGGGTCCAAGTGTACGCTGTACATAATATGATGCAGATACAGATCGAACCTTGGCAAAACCAAGACTGCACCGACCTCTGCAGCCTTGACTAGTAGATGGCTTAGTAATCAGTCAACCTTCACACCGAGAACTGTATCTCCGTACATCATTGCTCTCACAGATCTCGCATCAACTGTGTGTTAGGCAAGCTTTAGTATGGCAAGGACCGTTAAAACACACATCCAGTGTTAGGCAAGCCCAGGAATTCCGCGCTGCTTTACACTTGCGCTACGATCGGAGCCCCTCTGATCTTCCCACCCACTGTGATGGCTGTGGAGAGCCCTTCAGTGTCACGCACACCCTTTCCTGTACCAAGGGCAGCCTGGTTCTCCAACGCCACAATGAAGTGCGTGACGAACTCGGTGATCTCGCGGCCAAGGCATTCATCCCATCTGCAGTTCGCGACGAACCCCGTATCCAACTTAAGTCGCTCTGCAGCTACGGATGCTTCGCCTTCCAGCGACTCTCCTGTAGTTCTCACCCCATCCGAGGAATGAGGTGATCTCCTTATCTGTGGCCTCTGGCAATGCGGAACTGACAGCATAATTGATGTTCCTGTCATCACTCTTGATGCTGCTTCTCGCTGTTGCAAGGATCCTAACAAGGTCCTTCACAATGGCGAACGTGACAAGAAAAGCAAGTATCTCGACGCCTGTCTTTCCCAACGCCGCCACTTTACTCCGTCTGTTGTCTCTGCTGATGGTCTCCTTGGGGCCGAAGCTGAGGCACTCACCAAACGTATTTCCGTTTTGCTCGCTGCAAAGGGTTTCGCCCTTGCTCAGTGGTGCGTGGCTACGCTAATGCTCGGCTCAGCCTAGCTATTCTTCGGGCCCACCACCTCTGCATGCGTGGCTCTGGTGTCCCTGCTGGCACAATGAGCTACCACGGCTCTCTCTGGGATGCACTCTTCCACTAATCTTGCCCCCTTTTACTCTCTACTTCCTCGCTTTCCTCATCCCCCCTTCCTCTTTGCACTCCCAGTAAAGCCTACCCGTACCGTACATGTACCACCGCAGCCACTGCGCTGCCTAGCTTAGCCCCCCTTGCTCCTTAACGTATCTATTTCTAAAGACTTAGTAGTACATGTATGTTTTTCATCAGCTTTATGGAACCGGCAAGGCCCGATGACATACCACACAGGACACAGCAGCAATACTACCGATATTTGCAACACTCACGTTTGCCACACTCCGCTACCGCCTAGCTAGCTAGCGATGATCAGATTGCCACCGGCAACATACCTCGACCATGCTACTTTGGTGCTCTATTCAAGCAGTATGTAGGATATTTCTTTTTCTGTTCTCAGCGGGTTCAGCCTCTGCATGGTCTCCACTATTCCTCTCAGCATCATCAGATTCTTCATCCCAATCATCCGCTGCTCCGAGCATCCTGCTACAAGTAGACCTTGCAAAGGAGCTGACTAGTGGCACGACAACGTTGCCGCCCATGGTCTCCGTCCCTTGTTCTGTCCTTGGCAACAACAACGACGACGACAAAGGCGCATTATCATGTCTACGAGAGTTGATCCAGCCTCCGAATGTGGAGACTCTGTATGATTGGTATGTGAATGTCCAACAGAAACCAGATGCCGACCCCAGCTGGGCTGTCGTATGGCCAACTGCCGTGACACTCGCCAACTATCTATTGGCAAATCCTTCTGTCGTTCAAGGAAAACAAGTCATTGAGCTGGGTTGTGGCTTGGGCCTGGCAGGATTGACAGCGGCAAGTAGTAGCGCACAGCAAGTTCTGCTCACGGATCGAGAGCCATTTGCGCTTCACTGTGCCATGTCCACGGCAGCCGTACACGACCTTCAGGTGGTCCAGGCAGCTATCTTGGACTGGAACGACGAGAATATATCCGCCGACATTGTGGAATCAGCCGATATCATTCTCGCCAGTGATGTCTTGTACGATAACGATTGCATCGAGGCGTTTGTCGGCATTTGTACCAAAATTGCAGCTCCAACCGGTGCACAGGTACTTCTCACCGACCCAGTGGAACCGAGAACGCCGGGGGCACGAGACATGTTGCGCAAGTCTTTGCTTCGGAGGAAGAGCAATGTACAAATTGAGGAAATTGAACTCCCTGTGCCTCAACCAATGGGAGGGGCGAGCAGCATGGACGCCAAAGACCATCAACGTCGAATGCAGGAACCAACAGTGTTGCTCAAGTTTGACATCTAGCAAGCTAGTGGTAGGAAATGCGTTGGTTGTAGTGTTGTAAAAATACCGTACTATCTGACAAAACTGCAGCAAAATGACGATGAGCGTTCACCAGATCTCTCAACAAATAATGGTACAATCCCTCTCTCGTAGCATACTGTTCCCGATGCGAAGTCTCATGGCCAGTCCACAACCTGACTGGCTGGTTGCCTCCAATACTGCGCAACCGCTCTCACTTGCCAAACATTTGCATCTTCTTTAGAAGTTTCGTGGACATACCGTACTGGACGCTAATCCCGTGGACGAATCAATCGTACAACTAACTGTACTTCTACGCTTGGGCCTCTCCTGGCTTCGTCAAATCCAAGTGTGGTAAAGTTGTCTGCTCTCTGTCCAGTTGTATCCATCCCAGATGGTTGTGGCTGGTATCATAGCAAGATCTCTGTCGATCCTGTCGAATGGCAACAAAAAATGGAGCTGGTCCTGAAGCACAGCAGACATCCATGCATGCTCATTTTGTTCGAATGCATGGTATTCGTTCTTTCTGGTAACCTTGGGGAACAGGCAGTCCCTGCTGGTTGTCGCTGTAGCATGATTTGAAACCGTAATGGTGCAGGATATGTCAATGGAATCATGAGCCGAATCGAATCAGACTCAAAAGGTTCCTGTCGGCGTACCAGTACACGACAGTACCTCTACGCGTACCTTTCGTTGTTACGATTTCTAATAATACCATGGCTTTATGTTGCGCCTTGAGGTGTTGGGCAGGGCGACAAATTTGTCTTCTTTTTGAACTGAAAGCCTGTTGAAGCAAGCGGTAGCTCATATTGGCAATGAAACAAGTGTGGGTCGGGTGCAACTTCACTTGGCTATGTGCAATCAAAACTTATTCAGTTACCCCTGACCACCGGACGGTAGGCTGCCATCGTCTGGTACCAGTACCTACCGGTAGGTATATTCACAAAAGATACAGCAATGCCCTCAGATGATTTGGTTCCTAGCGGTGCATCCAAGCTAGCAACTGGCTTGCCAGGCAGGTGTCCGGCACCAAAGGGTCCTATCAGGTACCAGCATTCCTCTATCCTCTATCCACCATCGGTGGGTCAGTCACTCAGTCTCTGTATATATTTCTCGCCACTTTTGACTGTCACTCCCTCTGGTGTGGTACGGTACCGTACCAGTGCTGTAAGGTCGGCACCAAGCGCTAGCTAGACGAATGCAGCAAATTTTGTGCTCTGACGCTCTAGCTCTGAGTCCGTTCTGGCAGCTTTCTGACCCACTTCGAGTCGCAGAAATACACAGAGTTTACGTTAATGAGAAGTCTCAGACATGTTCAAACACAGATCGGGGAGACAAATATTTATGGTTCACTGTAGATTCTGAAGATGACTTTCGGGTTGAGAGAATGTCCCCTATGCCCCAGCCAGCGAAACAACGAAACAATGCAACACCACGTTTAAACGTTCACCATTCCGGTGCGTGTTGCGTCCAACCTCCAACCACTACTCATGTACTACCGGTAGAGCTCCGGTACCGGTAGCTACGGTAGCCAGATACTGATGAGTACAATAGTACGCTGTGCTGTAGACTACTAGTACATGTATAACCTACAGTGGCAACCGATACCGCAGCGCAAATCCCAGACACCGATAGTTTCTCAAAAAGTTACAAATAAGCATTTGAATTCGAATGCCCCAATCGAGAGAGATGGAGGAAACCAAACGTAGACGCAGTGAACGCAGCGAACGTAGCCGCAGTCGACGCAGCCGAAGCTCCTCCGACCATGGTAGTAGAAACGCAGCTTTGAACGGCTCCCAAACCCGTAGATCTTCAATGAGCGCTCATAGCTCTAGAATGATACCAATTGGATCAGAAAATAAAGAGTTTAGAAAGAGTGAGCAGCGGCGCCAAAAGCGCACCACAAGCCACCGCCAAAGAGAAAGAAATCATTATCAAGAACTCCAGATTGATGCAACTAATGAGAGACTTCACAGCAGCACTGGGTGCATTGAACAATATTGTACTTTCGTAGAAGCTGTCAGAGACCTCAGTAAGACTAAATCTGACCGAAACTTGATGGAAAATGCTACCAGCAAGAGTTCCCACACCAGAAGCAACGACCGGGATAGAGTTCGAGCTCTGTGCAAGCTTTTGTCTGTTTCCAATGACATCAACGGCGACAGTTCCAGCCATGACAGCACGACACTCAGTCGTGAGCATGATGGCAACATGACAGCCAAAACACAATCGAAAACTAGTCATGGCGATTCTTGCACTTCTGCTTCTGCAAGTGCTGGTTCTAGTAGCAGCAAGAGCAGTTCCAATTGTTCAGACAATCAAGCAAGGGCAGATGAAGTTCAAGATAGATTCCAACAGCTCTGCCAGGACTCTACCAGTGACAAAGCGCCCCGCACAAGAGAACCAAAGCGCCGCAAGTCCCATGGTTCACTTGATGAGATCTTGAAACGAAAAACCAAACCCATCATAAACGCAGTGGTTCGTGCCGAGATATCAACCGAAGGGTTTCCTTTTCCTTTTGCCAGATTGATAGAAGGGTTGATGCTGGTAGCACACCCACAAGATCAAGAAGACGAAGCTCACTTGGCCAGAGCAAGCCTCGCAAAGAGCTGATGGAGCTTGCTACTACTTTGAATGAAAGTAATGTTGACAACAACATGGATGCCATCATACCGGTGGGACTTAAAGGAAATGAAGCTGACAATAACGAGGCTGGCCTCAGCAAGAATGCAACTTTGAGCACCCCTGCAAATTGGAGGCCCGCTAGGAGGAGATCTATTATGAAGCACAGGACTGTGCATGCCTTGCAACGGCAGATATCAAGTGGTTGCCTTAACATGGATAAATCGGAAGAGAATAGAAGCCCTCCTTTCAGCAGGAGTTCGACAGCTCCAAATTCCTTAGGCCGCTACACCGCTAATCTATCTGATGCACGTGCTGACACACCAAGCTATCGTCGGCGACAGCGAAGAAACTCCGGGCACACATTGACACAAATGGCGAGACCATGCAAAAGATGCAGTCAGATAAGGTCAACATGAAAACTTTGATGGCTGCCTTCGACTGGAGGGAGCTCTCTGAGTCTGGCCATGCAAAGAGCACTCACGAGAGAACCCAGTCCTCCTCCACTCCCAGTGACAGAGGCAAGCAGAGACGTGATGGCTCCGAGATTAGTTCCACCAAACGCAATGGGAGCGGTAGAGGAAGCCGGGGCTCTTCCATAAGGCGAAGTGTTGTGGAATCACGTCGTCGAAGGAGTACGAGCAGGACAAGAATTCATCGAACTCAAACAAGCACGAATGTTCAGCAGCGGCGGTCTTCAGAGCGGGGGCTGCTTCTTGGTGCGCCCAAACTGAAGAGGCGATCATCGTCAGCACCATCAATGTTGGACGTGTCAGCTGAGGACCTGGACCACTCGTTGGACCAGCGGGCGGCACCTCTGAGGAGAAAATCCCTCAGTGGCAACTGTCACATTGGTTGCTCCAAAATCCAGGCCAGTAATGGAACGAAAAGCAAGTATTCTGGGCTTGCTACAGGTATTGCCAGCAAGCTCGAAACCACTGACACAACAAGTGCTACCGGTAAGACCAAACGTCTTTTGGAGCTTCGTAAAAACTTGCAGGTCACTGCGGGTCAGATTGTACCCATTCAGCTCGACAAGAGCATTGTGGTCGGACCCATGATAACATAGGTGGGCCACTCACTGCTGAAGGAGGCAACTGGGGGCAAAGGAAGAGCCAGCTTCTATCATCGAATGTGTCTAATCTTAAGACATGCGGTGAAGACTTGTTGGTTAGAAAACAAACGAATCCCTTTCCTGGAAGCTGCGTTTGGATGCGGCGATGCCGGAAGACAAACGTCTCGGCTCTTGAAATACAAATAACCCACTAGCTAGAAGTTATTGCAAGAACCCTTTGTTGGCCGTGTGCGTACACTGTAGCATTCCCAGAACACTACCAGTACCGTATGTAGCCGAGCCAAGAACGAGATAAGGCAGCTTCCTGCTTAAGGCGTGGCTTGCCACTTCCTGTGAGGGTCAAGAATGAGAAACGCAGCAATGCTTACATGGTCAGAGGTGACGGTCAAAGCGAATGTCTTTTCAACCAACCTACACTTATCCATGAGTAGTATCCTAAGTGCACAGAATGCTGCAAGACTATGAGTTGATGGTCCACTCAGGAGATTCCTTATATATATAATATTATAGTCGGCGGTTGCAGAAACCAGCAGTCTACTTCATGTGGATCTTTCCTTCTTTCAAGCTCTTCATGTCTTGTTTCTGACCTCGCCCCCGATTGGGATTGGGCTTGTTCCGATTGTTGTTTCCTCGTCCCTTGTGGGCACCGTTTTTGTTGTTGCCTCCTTTGCCTCCACCTTGTGGGTAGTAGGGTTTGGCAATGGGATTGGGATAGTCCACTCCAAGTTTGCAGCCGTATTCCATTTGCTGAAACTGCGTCATTTTCCATGGCTCGTGCACAAACTTTGTGGGTACGTTTTTCAGTTCAGGTACCCAGTGGCGAACGTAGTCACCGTGCTGATCGTAGTCTTTGCTTTGTTTGACAATATTGAATCGATTGAGACGGCCTCCTGTCATGCCAGCCCCAGAGGCCCAATTGCCCCAATTGGAGTAGACATCGTAATCAACTAAAATGTTTTCAAAGTACTCGGCTCCGTACCGCCAATCCTGATTCAGTTCCAACGCCAAGAAGGAGCAGACATTTTGCCGCCCCCTGTTGGACATGAACCCCGAGGCAGCAAGCTCTCGCATATTGGCGTCTACTAATGGAAATCCCGTCTTTCCCTCTTTCCAAGCCTGCAGGTTCTTCTCGTAATGATGCCACTTTTTGTCGTTTCCCACCGGTCCACCAGGAAAGAAGAGCGAGGTCCCATGCTTGAGGGAAAAGAACTTGAAAAAGTCCCGCCAAAGCAGTTCAAATACAAGCCAATAGGTGGATTTGTTCTCAACTCGCTCCTGTTCGTATCGTTTGCACTCCTTGGCAATGAACCGAGGAGACACGTTGCCGTGTGCCAACCAGGGAGCCAACTTGGACGAGTAGTCGTCGCCCAGCATTCCATTGCGGGTATCAAAGTAGATTTGGAGCCGATCTTGTGTCCAAATGTAGTTTTCGACGCGGGCCAAAGCAGCTGTCTCTCCACCAACGAATTCCAAGTTGCCAATGGATTTGTGTTTGGCTTCTTCCATTTGCTCCGAGGTGTATCCTAGATCCTGGAGTGTTGGAATGTAGGACAAATGAGGCTGAAGCGCTTTGCCTTGCGGACTGTCGGCTGCAAATGGAAGTTTCATGCTGTTGGGAGCTGCAAATGGGGTTTGGATTTCACATTTCTTTTCCACCTTGTTTCGGAATGGGGTGAACTGCATGGCGGTAGTGGTGAGAGGTCATTCAAGAGAAACGTCAAGCACGACGTGATGAGCTGCAACCTCCAACAGTCAGTGCAACACATGGCATCTGGCTAGCAAATATCATTTCTTACCGAATCAGGAAGATCTGCCAGGCCAGTTTGGTACGGCAAATCTTCAATATTGTAAAGCGTAGATCCCCAAACAGTCTCCACCAAAGGCAGACGGGAAGCACATCGCTTTCGAAGGGCAGTATCCACAGCCTTGACAACATCCTGTTCTTCGCTACAAACTTCTTCCTGACAAATGACTTTCCCATTGGTCACGGCATCATCTCCTCCAAGTTGTTGAAAGAGCTGATCCAAAAAGTCTTCTGGCTTGGCGTGAGCCACCAGCAATCCGGATCCTTTGCGTTCCAAATTACGTCGTAAATCTGCCACGGATTCCAATACAAATTGCGCTCGTTTGGGACCACACTTGAGTTCGTTGTTGATTCTACTCCGAGCCCCATTTCCAAAGATGCGGGGATCAAAACAGAACACCGGAACAATATTCTTGTTGTTGCCTGCCTGCAGGATACTCTTTTGGAGCGCCGGATTGTCGTGAAGGCGCATGTCGCCCAATCGGAACCAATGAAAGACCAATGACTTTCCTCCCTTTGAAGCAGCATTAGCATTAGTAGAAGTCGTCATGGTGGCGTATGGGATGTCGGTGGAAAGGCTGTGGACCGGGCTAAAGAGTAAAAGGAAGGAGATGGCAATCAACGAAATTGGCACCAAAGTAGCGAACTGTGATAACATTGAGAAACGAGAGAATCGTAACTGTGTTCCTCTCAATCGTTCTTTAGAAGGTGGCTTCACTTCCGCCTGTATCAGACTGGGTTGCTGATGGAAGCAAGCAACGAAGCAATTGGCATTGTGTGATGTTGGTGCAGGTGGTATCGAAACATCATACCTCTACAAGTACTTAGTCAAGCAACAGCAACAATGCTTTGCTTGACTGACTCACGATGGGAAGTATCCGTGATATGCCACGGACGCTGACTCAGGGTAGTTACTATCCAGGCATTAGGCCGCTCTCTACCGGAGGGACTAAAGTAGGGACTAAAAGGAATCCTTTAGGTGGTTGTTTAGTTCAAGATTTAGTCATATCCTTTAGTAATGGTGGTGTCTACCAGCAGATGACTAAATCTCGGACTAAACAATTTAGTCAGTTCTTTAGTCATTTGGACCTGTCTACCCAGCACTAAACAAATGACTAAACGGAACACTAGTGGACTTAAAGGACTCAACAAAGATTTAACAAAAGTGATCATTTGGTGGGCTAACAATATTCTATCAGCATGGTGGATTTAAAGGACTCAAACAAAGACTTAACAGAAGTGCTTACTTTTTGAGATAACAAGACTCAAAACAAACCATTGCCATGCACCTCTCCTCTTTCGTTTGCACCTCTACTACCGATATCATTAAGTCAAAGGCCGAGAAATTAAAGCCATCCCGCACTCCCTACTCTGCACATTGAGGGATGGCTTTCTATTCTCAACCGAAGACGGTCGGCTTGATAAAGTGCGATAGAGGTGCGGCTGATACTCATCTTCGTTCGTTCGATCGATCGTTCGATCGTTCGAGTCACGACCTCTACTTATCGGCCAACTCCTCTGTCGATCGTTCGATCGGCTGCACCTCTACTATCGTGTTGCACCTCTACTATCGGCCGTTACTCCTCTTGGATCGTTCGATCGCACCTCTACTCTATCAGCGCTGTCGCGATGCTTTGATAGTGAGGCTGTGCCATGAGGGTGCTGTTCTTTTTTTAAAGTGCTGTTCTTAAAGAGTTCTTAAAGAGGCTTTAGTCGTTACGCTCACTCACCGACTAACCAGCCTCCCGTTAGTCGGTGAACCAACCTTGTGACTAAAGGCTTTAGTTCTTTGGACGTTTAGTCCCTTGGGTAGACACCACCCCAAGAGACTAAACTATCGACTTTAAACCATGAAATATGGCTTACCTTTCCTCTTTTTCTGCTATTTTCTTAAGGGCAAGTCGTGCTTTGGATTTAGAGGCCAGTCGCCGCTTCGGCCCAACCTCTGAACAAGTTTTGACCTTAGATAACCGGTACTACGCTTTAATTCTTCTTATTTGGCCGGCGCTTCAAGCATCCATCTCCTGCAGCAAATACAAAGATCCGCCCTCATTCCAAGCTGACAATGGCGGTCAATCGTCGTCCCCAACTTCTTCCATCTCTCTCCCATTGTTGTCTTCTTCGATCACAAAGAGAGCATGTTCCTCATCGGCTGCCACTCCCGGTTCGTCCTCGCCATCGAGTGTAGCTGGTTGAGGTTGAATTACAATTGGAACCATCACCTTTTTCCTGGCCTTGTCGACCAGGGTGTTGTCTCCGTTGCCTGCTACAATGAGACGCAACACTTTATCCCAGCGCTTGAATATGTTTCGGAAGGCTCTATATGAGTCATAGTTCTCCCACGCTTCTTCCACTGTCCTGGCAAGGGCATTGGCACTGGTTTTGGTTCTTGTTCTATGCAATTTCTCAACATGATTCTGAATTCCCATCCACACACCCAAGTCGAGAAGGTTTGTTTCCGGACTGCGAGGTACCTGATGAAGAATCACAACGTTGTACTGTTGCCGCAGCTTGGTGACGTACTCATCAATGCAGTCTTTGGTTCCATGGCCTCCGGCATTGTCCATTACAAGGAAGATCTCTTGCTCATCAGGCACCCAATGATACGCTTTTCGGATTGCTTCTCCAATCAGCAACATGTTTTCGGCCATGAATTTCGAATCGCAGGTCACGTCCTTCTCATACTCATCTCCTTTCCTACGAGCAAACTGGAGGTGAAGGTGCTTCAATTCAAGACCACATCGCTCTTTTCCCTTTTCAAACAATCCAATCTTGGCCAAGACATTTTCCTCCTCTTTTAGTGTAATCCATTTTTTCTTTCCGGTGAGTTGATGGTATACTGGATGACGGAGAACGAGGTGATCTCGTGTTTCCTGATCTATTTGCCACCGTGTTTGTATCTTGTCAAGGAGTGCTGCGACTGTCATGCTGCCCTCCTCGTCGAGTTCTCTCCATCCTTTTTGGATCTCTTCATTTATTTGGTAGTTGTCAACAAGTTGCTTGTAAAATGTGCTCTTCTTTGCTACGACTGTTTCACTCACTCGTTTCATCATTATCCTTCCATCAAAGTCATACTCAAAGTGGGGACAAGCCATGACTCCCATGAACATGACTTTCTTGGCAAACCTTCTACTTGCTTCCCGTCGTGGTGGATAGAGGTCTTCAGTACTTTTGTCTTCGCCTGGTTGCTGAGGAAGTCTCTTTGTCTTGCGCCTTTTGGATACCATATAAAACCATTTCTCGTCGAGGAAGACGTAATATGGAGGGCCTGGATGTGGCTCCCTGAAACAGTCGATGCCATCGTCAGAGTCTGAATCGGTATCGTTGTTTTCTAAGGCTGCCGATGCTCCGTCGAGGTAGTGCTTGTCAAGTTCTCTCAGTCGCTCCTGGGCCCACAGAAGTCTCTGCTGCTTTTTTTCCTCGGTAAGAATTGGTCTAGTAACTGCCTTGATTGCTTTCCCTTTTCGCTTCTTAAACCATTCGGAAACCTGCCAACCGCTAAGCTTCAGGTGCTTCGTCTCATCAAGCTCCTCTTTTGATAGCTTGCACATTGTAAATGCGATTTCATCGTATGAGGCTTCGGTTCCTACCTCGTCTGCAGCTTGTGCCCTTCGGAAGAGGCTCAACACGAAACCAGAATGAGCAGCATCAACAGAAGCGAGGTAAGAGCCACGTTGGTTGCCCTCGCAGAATGTTAGAACGTTGTGCAATAACACCTCTCCTGTCATCAGAGATTGCTCAAAAGACTTGTGCCAGAAAGAGAGTCGAAAGCCCTTGGGTGGTCTGAGGAGTCCTCTGTCGTATGCTACCAATCGACAAGCTGCTTCAGCAATGCTAAGCTTTGTCTTTCTTGGCAATCTTGGCAGGTTATAGCCCCATGATATTGCCACGCACAGAGCTATCCATCGCATTGACTTGTCAGGTCGCTTGTTCGGACGACTTGTTGCGAGTTCAATCGCGCCATCACCAAACCTTGACGGCCGCTTGTTTTGATCATCTCTCTTGTTAAAATCAAGCTGCTTGGCCAAAGTCATTACTGGTGGTTCCTTCCAATCAACCGGACGAACGAGGTCTTGTATCATCCATGGGCTGAACACATTGAATGGTTGGTATTCGTGGTTGTCACTGGAATCCTCCGGCATATCATCGGCCATATCTGCATTCGGTGTTGTCAGATTCGGAAACGGTAAATTTGATCTCTCCTCTGGTTCCGACCATGGAGTGAGAATCGCTTCAATGCCCTCGTCTACGTCCATGGCACCATCTTGAGCCCGAGGAACGACAACAGCTGTGGTGAAGGAAATACGTCTTCTTGGATTGACTTTCGGTGTCTCGATTGCCGGTGTACTTGGCCGCTTGGCACTGGAGGCACTGGAGGCGACACCAGGTGACTGATCAGAGGAATACGCAGCTGTCCAACACTTGATTGCTTCGTGCAGCCGGCTCACTCTTTTGTTCGTTGCAGTTCCTCTTTGGATGTAATAGATGGGACTTCTTTTGTGGTGGTACCTTTTCAGACTGTTGCCACTGTCACCGAAGATTGGCGCTTCATTAAACGTGACAGTTGGATTTGGTTCTCCTGGCCGAGGCTTGTTGCGGATGACAAACAATAGCGCTGTTGGATCTCTCTCTTGTCGCAGTGCTACACCTTGTTTCTTAAAAGATATCTTTGCTTTTTTGAAGCGATGATTGAGTGCTTCTATGGCATCCCCTTCACATAAAACTAGATGACTTGAGTCGCTTTCTTCTTTAACGATACCAGTTGCTAGCAGCATATGTTTAAACGTAGTGTAGTCGAGGTCAAGGACAGTGGTGATAGCGTTGTTGGCGGCAGCTAGCTCCTCAGACGTTGGCAATACAAACCATCTCCTGTTGTGGAGCCGTCGAAACAGCTCTTCTAGCAAAGAGAATGTGTAGTCGGCAACTACTTGCTGGGAGTCAGTCATCTTGTTCCATACCTCACCACAGCACTAGTTAGCTAGATTACCAGAGGGTCAACAACAAACAGATTGGCTTTAAAAGTTACGGGGGAATGGGCTACAAGTAGGCTACTCGTTGGCTGGAAACTGGGCCTTCACAGTCTGCTCTGCAAAGCGGAGAGCCTCTCCAAAGAGAGTAGCAGAATCGCTGTAAGGGATACGGAGTGTCATGGCAGTGAAGCCTTCACTTGGTGGCGATGTGAGACTCAAACGGAGAGCTCTGGTGCCATTAACGCTTCTCACTCCTTGTGGGCGATGCATTACCCAAGGAGCATGCACAGGCATGCAGAACGTAGCCGTAGGGCGTACCTGCTGAATACCATCACCGGAGAACACGGCCAATCGAAAAAGGTTGGAGTGGGAGAAACGTTGTATCTTGACAATACCGGCGTGTTGCTGGAGAGAGCCATCCACATGAGTAACTTCCAAGGTGGCCGGGGCCTCTCCTGCCACTTCTCCAGTCAATGTTGCAACAGTGAGCCAATGATCGCCCATGGTAGAAGAAAATAATGAGCTCTCTTGGACAAAGAAGAAGGATTCACCGAAGCAAATTTGAATTCAAATAAAATTC